GACAGAAAGGTCATATTCCATTTAAACTAGATCACATAATCCTTTATAAAATACGTTGATTAACAATATTTAAACGTCAATGTATACGTAACAGCCAATTTACAGTATTTTTTGTTTTTGGAAATGTCCCATTGCTATGTCATTTGCATTATTTGCTGCCAATAAAGTCAAAAGGCCGTATGAAATAGGAGGCCCCTAACAGTTCAAGAATAAAATCCAACTTCACTTCAAGTATTACACTACACCTAACATTCCGTAGAGAGATTATATTGACAACTTTATGTTATTGATAAGACTGAGACAACTAACTGACATCCCCCATGTCAAGAAATTCCAGCTTCAACAGTAACCTCAAAATAAATTTCTCAAAAGTAAGCTAGAGGGTGCATTTGTTGGCACAGAAGTAAGATATGAACTGACGCGACGTGACGAAGGAAAAATCAAACTTACACTGTAACGGATATACCTCCCTTTGAATATGTCTTCCCAAAAAAAGTTTTCTTTTAAAATAAAATCATATTACACTGATGAAATCACGGAAGTGTTTAACTACAAAAGATCCACCAATACGATTTTAATACTATTTAAAGGTTCTTCAAAAGGAAGAGATACCAGATGACATACTAATAATAACTCCGATGACGTACGGTAAGGGGAATATTTTATTCATTGAATGATCAACCGAATTTGGCGACTAACACAATTAATATCAATATTGTTTTTACACTTATTATTCTTTAAACAATGCTAAATGCTCAAAATATGTAGCCTATATTTTATCCAATTTAACGCAGTTAGGTGAATTAACGTAGTCCTTGAAAGTAACCGTCGATTTCGACAAGTTTCACCTAGTTACTATTAAATAGTAGGATTAGTTAATATATCGATGTTCACATGACCGGATGAGTCATCAGCTCTATCCCTAGTCCGTCGGTCATTATCCCTCGAGGCACCGGCCGATAGACCAGGGAACAGCTATGATTTACACTATCACCCTCTACTACGACATTTTTTTAGGTAAACATTCCAACGCTCATGATGACATCGAACACTCATGCATATTTGTATATAGGCCTAGCCAGTCCAAAACCTGAATACACTGTAGGTATGAATCTGACCGCTTATATCATAAACAACTAAATATTAAGGCTAGTTTCCTAACCAGAGAACACACAAGAATGGCACTTTACAAGACTTTTTATACCAAGCCTTCATAAACTAAGAGTATTTCATAAGTTACGTTGCCTGTGTAGATTTAGACTTAAAATCAGTATAAAATCAGTAATGGATTGAAAATCTAAGTGTTATTTACGTTTTGTTTGCACTATAATGTAGTGTACCTGTTTCTCGAAATCGAATAATTTTTAAGCTATGTGTATTACCAGGAATTATTTCAAAACTAATAAATAAATAACGTCTTTGTTGGGCAGCGTACATCAGATTATAGATCTGTTTTACATTAAAACTTTTGTCATTCAAGGAGTTTAAAATACTCAACTAAAAGCTTATGTTATTAATAAAAAAATCACACTGTTCATAACAGTTTGATATAATCAACATTTTTTTGAAAATGTTTAATACTGTGAGTGAAAGAGTTTTTTTTTAGCAACTACCACAGTACTACGTAAAATCAAAACAATATTTAGGTTGATTGGAGGCCAATCACTTTCTCGCAACTACGCGATAGAGGGCTGACCCAACACCCCAATAACTGGAATGGATTGTTGTGAAAGGAAACTCTAAGAATTTGCAAATGAAGTCCATTCTGAGTAACGTGTGGGGATTAACGGGACATTCTGTACGCTGTTTACAAAATATTTCCTTTGCCTTTCCAAGTACTGAATCTATATGGTTTTGCTTATATTAAACAATAAGTCAAATACGTTGTAGCAGATGTCTTTAGTTGCATTTTACAACAGGTATTTCGTTCACCTTTCTCAGAAATAGCTGTTCATGGCGTGTTCAATAAGGTATATTGTGTTATTGTCCTAATAAACACGAGAGACATTCGCCTATCTTTATGGTCGAATTATATAAATAACATTGAACTGATTAATTTAACAAATGATCATTGTTAATTTAATGTAACAATTAGGCCATTTATGTACTGTACATTTATGTTTTATGTTTTACATTTATGTTTTATATGTTTGTTTTGTGCTGTATTTATGTTTTAGTATATATATATATATATACTGTTTAAATATTTATTTATTCAATCAATGTCCTGACTAATCAATACACAACCTAAACTATATTAAATAGAGATTTGATCATATTGTCATAGCATCTCTAGAAATCTGTCCGGAGTATGAGCAATTTTGGTTTATTAAACTTATTGGTAAATTGGTGTAAGATTGTTTTAGGTTTATTCGTAATCCGGAAGCATACGAAGTTGAAGCTTTTGCTTTGGTATTAACAGTCAAGTAAAATATATAAATAATTAAAATAAATAAATAATTAAAATAAATAAATAATTAAATAATCTTATAAATTTAAGAAAATGGGTTATTCGTTTGGCTCTGCTACCCGACCATTTTTATTATTGAGGTCTCAAATTAAAGGTATGCACGCACAGATTTGCCATCAAGCATCGGCGTATATTTTTCTATTATCTCACTCGGCTTATACGTAAACGAAATTGCTCCCCATGTTTTTCTTATGGGAGTTAAATTTGGTTTTCATGATTTTCTTCGTTAGGCTAAACAAATCATGTTAACAATTTAATTTTTGAGTTGTTCTAATTCTTATAACGTAGTTTTCTAAAGTTATCTGTTGTGGCTGCCTAGAAATAATCGGACGTTTGTTTCTCCTTTGAAAATGTATTGATAATTATAGTAGTGGTAGTTAATTATGTTACAAGACTATGACAAATTGCCAATTATTAGTCAACTTGGTCCCCACGCACAGGCTTCGCATATGTAGGCTCTGTCGATTTTCAGAAATTACGTTCATTCTGTATCTATTATTTTTTTGTTATGAATTGCTTTTGATTTTATTTATTTGATTTAATTTTACCATGGTATTTTTTCGGACAAACTCCATTAAAAATATAGCACGGGTCGAGGTTAATTTAACAACTTAAAACTAATTCATTCAACAATAGTTTACCTGAAAACTATTTTACTAATATTTGTTTAAAGTTTTACAGAATACACTTACACATGATGCTATTGTATGTTTTTATTTATACATGATATAGGTACTTACAACAAAACTTGTGAATTTTTGTGTTTATTTATACATTTATTGTATGGCAACAACGTAAACTTAAAGATAGGAGCGAGTGTATGCAATTTCAAGATAGAGTTTAGTATCCACCGATCCTACGATAGTTTAAGAGTACATTTCGTACCTGGGGCCGAAAATGACTTTTTTTCAGCTCGGGATCATTTTTAAGTTCGAGACGAAGATGAAATCGGTCCGTGGTACGATTGCTGTTTTTCACCAAACTATACAAAACTGAGAAAATATATCAATAATGTAGGCAAGCATGTTTCTTTACAACCTTTTTATCAGCTCGTGAACATCACACAGAAAATATCCGCATATCGGCGGAAATGTATTTTCCTGTCGATCTACAGAATGCCTTTATAAATTAAAATAGGCTAAAAAGACATAAAAAAGAATTACAAATGTTTAAAACTAACATGGGTTTAACGGGTTGCTATGCTGGTGACGAAATAACAACTAATTATGAAAATAAAATCAAAACAAATGGAACATATTCCAATCACATTTATTATTTACAGTGTATGTTAAATGGAGAAGTATGTGTAGTACATTGCATAGTTTTTGTCGAGTTTTCAACCGCTGGACCTCAACTTCATTGTACACTTTGATAACTGGGAAATCCATTGTAAACTATAAGATATGCACACTAATCAATGCAAATACTTTAAGGTTATGTGAAAAAATATTTAAAGGAATCAGCAAAAATAGTAATACATAATTGCTGGGCAGCGGTCTATTGCAATTCATTAGGGATATACTGCTTGTATATTTAATGTTATATATAAATGTTTTAATTAAATAAGCGATTTTCGGTACTAGGGCTGGGAAATTTTAATCACAACTATAGCTGCCATTTCGACCCTGGACAGCAATGCGTAGCTTTCAGCCTCCAATTAACGTCTGTAAAACTACTAAAACAACGTATTGCGGTGAAAAATATTTGCCAATCATACTCAATCGACTCGGAACACTGCAGTTCCTGATTTAATTAAGGGTATTATTAAAAAGTACTCGTGCAGTAATCAATTAAACAGGTTAACGAATTGAAGGATAGATACAACTAGACTATAAGGACGCAAAATACGCGTAGGTACAACTAGACGTAGGGACTACTAGACGGAGGGACCACTAGTCGTAGAGACTACTAGTCGTAGGGACTACTAGTCGTAGGGACAACTGGTCGCATCCGTACAAGCTAGGTGATACTACTTGTCGGTGGGATACACGTCTAGTTGTACCTACGTCTACTTGTACCTACGTCTAGTTGTACCTCCTAAAAATCTGCAGGTACAACTAGTCGGGTGAGCCACCGTCTACTTGTCCCTCCGTCTAGTTGTACCTACGACTAGTTGTCCCTAGGCCTCGAGGTACAAGTAGACGGAGGGACAACGAGACGGAGGGACAACGAGACGCGGTCCCATACTGAACAGCAATAGGGATGAAAAAGGATAAAGATAATCTATTACATATTATATATATTTTACAATCGAATGATGAATCACTTGCAAAGACCAAAGCCCTTATTCTGATACGTTAAAAGAAACAATTATATATCAATATATGGTTTTATTTATATGTAGTCATTCACATGATCAATGGTGACAAATGAAAGCCATTTAAATACTCGTTTACCCTGCACTATGTTGTAACTTCTTCTTCTTTACCCATGAACTCCATCTCATTGATCATAATCATATCTTCTGCTAAGGTAAGGGTAAGAAGAATCTTCTTGTTCTTATTCTTCTTACCCTTACCTTAGCTAGCTAGTGAAGTGAAGTGAAGTCGACTCGTCGAGTTTTAGTGAGAGTGAGGTTAGAAGTTGGGATTTAAGAACTTTAGACTGTATATTTTTCAGTATTCTTCATAAAACAACTATGGCTAGTGGTTCAAGATATAAGAAAATGACTGAGGTCGAGCAGCCCATAGAGTATGTTCAAATGGATGGTTTGGTACGTGCATTAGGTTTTTATTACTCCCGTTCTGTAGGCCCACTACGCCCAGTCTATGCCTTCTCACAAAAGATTTCAATTTGTAGCAAAAAACGCATTCTGTACACACTTTTTGTTCAACGACTGTTAACCTAAACTCATAGGTACAACCCACCTGTATCTTTTTTATAGGCAATCATAATTAAGAGATGGTTGTACAAAACATGGTGGCCTGCCTGGGAGCAGCTGGGGTGTGTAAGTAGGGATATTGCGATATTATGGATATCAATGCATATCGATATTTTCGTTTCGATATTCCCGATTTTGTATCGATATTAGGGTTTTAATAATATCGTGATATCGGAAGAATTTTGTCGATATCAGTTCTCGATATTGATATTTCTAAGTTTAGACATAGGCTAGATAGCCTTTTAGATAAAGTTTTAGTGATATCAACATAACTTACCTCACGGCCGCCTTTAACTCCAGGCCGCAGCCTTCGAGTGGCAACGTCGCAAGTGGTGTTGTAACAGCTGTTTTGTTTGGAAGCAGCTTATGGTATTTGTGTATTTGTGAAAGATTATTTACTGGAGTATGACAATATTAAATTCGCTTAAAATGTACAGATCTAGATTTTTAATTCATATTGTTTTGGTCCTTCAGTGCTAACCTTGTCTAACCCTCTGAGTGTTATGTGTCGCTTTTGCGACTCACAAACACTGTTTATGGCGAAGGCTGTGGGACTGACTGAATCGTATTGAACTGGATCGAGTTAGGTATAGTTTTTTTCAGCAGATTCAGAGCTTTCTCCTGATGTCTGTTTCTAGACGCTTTTCATTTTAGTTCTGAAAATATTGTAGCAGACAGCTGACGTGCGTATTTGTAAACAGCTTGGTTAACCTCGCACCGAAGACTGATGTGTTTATTGTACGTTTATCATTGTTTTAGTATTAAAAATCAAAAGTAGTGATATATACGAGGTGCATTATAAGAAGATTTACCTAAGTGATTTTGAAGGGCTGGTTGATGATCCTGAAGAAGTAGGTAGTGATATTGATGTAAATTATCAGCCAGATTCCTAGCTATGGTTAGGCCATGCATTCTTAGCTAAACACTATGTACCGAAATCTGTTTTTTGCCCATAACTTATTTATGCAAACCTACTTCCTTATATTATTATATTTTTGGAATCCTCATAAAATTCTGAACTAAGTGGCTATTTTAAAATAGCCTACCTATTTGTAGACCTATAAGTTAGGCCTAAATTATAAAAATTTATTGAGCGCAAACATAAATTTGTTTCATTTATTTTATAATTTTTAAGAAATGTTAACCCCACAAAAATTGTTAAACATTTTTTTTGTAATGTATATGTTACATTGAAGCCCATAATTTTCCAAACAAAATTATATATAAAACAGTATACTTTACATTGTTTTTAAGTTTCTAAGATACATTTTGATAAAACCCTGCGATTGCGCAATAAATGGGCGAACATTAAGACCAAAACTATAGACACTTGAAGGGTTAATGTTGTAAATACGGTAATTAACTTATTGTTTTCATTGTAACTCGAAAAATAAGGCTGGTTTTGAAATGCACTGTGTTTAAAGCTCCAAACAACTATGTTTATCGCTTAGATTTTTATTATTAATTTCAAATTTCACTTACTCTTTGAAGAAGTGTACTAGGCCTAAAGTGAAAGTAACATATCTGCCTAAATAGATTTCCTGACAGAACGCATAATCAAAAATCCTAAACCAGCTCAAGCAAATCATTAAAAAGTATATTCCTCCAAAGTAATATCTATATTCAATATTGAAGATCTTATCGATATTTGGATCCGATATTATCGTGATATCGATATTAGAGGCTGGAATCGTTATCGATATCTAATGTCAATAGATTGCTGATATCGCAACAACCCTATGTGTAAGTCAATGATAGGCCTAGCAGAAATGATGTTAAACTTTTTTATAACTAATTACGGAGCCAAATAGTGAAAAAATCGCGTAGAACTGTCAAAGTAGGATTGTTTACAGTTATGTTTATGTGTTTAATGTCATGAATAATTTGTGATTTTTAAAATTTGTAATACTTTATTTTTCTTTATTGTTTAGGTGAAGAGGTAGAACATTATGGCTATGGTAGATGTGTAATACCATAGTATACCGTCAATTTAAAGAAGCAAATTTTATCAATCTTTGTCCTCCCCCATTGCAAACGCAAAGCTTGAGTATAACTGCAATAAGCAATTTAAACTTATATGCCAACCCCGTACGAAGGTACTCTGCTAGTTAGTAATAAAACGAGGCCTCAGCGTCAAAAAATTCTTTAATAAAGTTGTAGTATTGATGTCCTAGAATACTTTAAAAGTTATTTTAGAACGTTTAAGCTGGGGTCTGGGTCCTGAATATGTAGGCTACCATTTGTTTTTTTAACTCACCAACTTTTTATAAAATAGGCTAACTTACATAACTTATAGGCTAAACTTAATTTGTTTCTGGTGAAATACTGATAGGACTAAAGTTAAATTTGTAAACAATTCATAAATCAATTTGGTGATTACGTTGGAACGTATAAACAATATTTTGTAATTGAATCAAATTTTTGGAATCTAATCGAATTTTTTGAATCAAATCAAATTTTGTATTGAATCACCATTTAGATATTTATTGTTATTCATCCGATAACATATCGTTGGTTCTCTGTGTAACTGTACCCCTTTTCTACAACAGTTACTCAGTGGATGTAGGCCTACTTATTAGATAGGTAGGCTACTCTTATAGGCAATCTATAATGGCAGGCCAATTATTAGGCCTACATTTTTTTCAAACCTTTGATTGCATAATTTGGACATATTTAAGATTCTTGTCTTAATCTCAGAAATATTTTTTTTATCACATGTTTACATACCCTCCTCAAATACAAGGCTGCGGCATTGGTGTTTAGCAACGTGGCACCGGCCGACCTATTGATATAGTAATAACAGTAACGACATACAAGTACCAAACATTGCACATTGTTTATGAATTATTACAAAAGATGGTTCAGTATGCTGGGAATTTGGCGTTGCATTGTTCCGACCCGGCCTTGTAGTAGAAGAGGCCATGATACTAGTCAAAAACATTAACGAATATTTGTACTGAGTAACTTATTTAATTCCAGGCTGTGATGAAAATTGTGAAACATTGCCACGAAGAATGTGTGTCAGGAAACCTGGAAGTTGCACAAGGAGCTTTGCTCGGGTTGGTAGTTGATAATCGTCTTGAGATAACTAACTGCTTTCCATTCCCAAAGACCTATGATGAATCAGTTGATGAGGGTGAGTGAAGGTTTAGTTTACCAAGGTGACATAAATGTTAGTCCTTTTAACTCCCAAGTGTAATTTATCGGTCATTAGTTTCCCATAAAATGTTCACGTATAATTCTTTATGAAAGCTTATTCTTTAATTTTTTTTTTATTTTCTGTTTATATTTTGTTGTTATTTTGACACCAGCATGGCAACCCATAAGGCCCGTGTTATTTTTTTCAAATTTCAAATTCATTTATTATGCTTATTTTTGAGCCTATTTTAATTTATAAAAGGATTCTGCCCATCTATACGAAATTATCTTTCTATGTATGTGTAGATTTTCTCTACAATGTACGCAAGCTAAGCTTTTAAAGCAACATGCTTGTCTAACCCTTGAGGTCGAATGGCGAGTATAGGTCGCCGCCTGTCATTTTCCTGATTGCTCAAAAATGGTGACCTACACTCACAAAAAAAGTTAAAAATCAAAAAAGTTTATCTTTGCAGTCAAATGGCAAGTAGGCCTATAGGTCGCCGGGCGCCATTTTCTCGACTGCTCGAATAGTAAACTATACTCGCTGAAAAATTGGGAAAAAATTTGACCTCAAAGGGTTAACCCTCTAGGTGTCGCATTGAACACCTGCAAATGTCACTCAATTTGCGAGACTTTTGCGGAGTTTGATTAAAAAATTAATAACAAAATCTAAATGTTGACATAGATATAACATTGTATATTTTCTTAAAGCAAATAAAATTGTCTATCTAAAAATGTATTTGTGTCCTACCTTGTACAAAAGCAATTTGTTGTTGGTTCAAATCCAGATAATCAAAAAAAGTTTTCATTTTTTACATAACCGCACATGTAAAAAAAATCACTATATTTACAAAAACTGAGATATACCGGTACATTTTATTCTAAATGTAATAAGAAAAAAGAAAATATATAGTTTCACCCTGTTTTTCTTTATAATAGGCTAACTCTAAAAATCACGACACAGTACAATGTAAACATTCGTTCACTAGTAACCGAAACACAAACAATGACATATTATGGAAAAACTATCACAGAACAAGATAAATAGTTCGGGAAACGGTCGTCTTTTATACTCACCATGAAGCCCAGAATCTCCTGAACACGTTAGTATGCCCAATGACCGGGCTTGTTCGATCTTGTGGGATTATATCAACTGAAACCGTAGGCCTGTCAAGTTGCCGTAATTACAGCGATTGACACTTGTGGCAAAAAAAATAGTCGCTGTAATTACGTTGATTGACACCTAGAGGGTTAATATAATAAGTTAGATATCACCAGGGAAATGGTTGACTGGGTTAAATTTATTATGATTCTTATAACAATTTGTCATCATTTTGTTACAGAGGAGTACCAGCTGGACATGATGAGGAGACTGCGTAGAGTTAACGTAGATCACTCCCACGTAGGCTGGTACCAGAGCTCGGACGTAGGCAGCTTCCTCAATTTACCACTGCTGGAGTCTCAGTACCACTACCAAACCTCCATAGAGGAATCTGTGGTTCTGATATATGGTAAGTAAACAGAGTTTTGAACAATGACGTTTAACTTAAAATTACTTGTTTTTAAAAATATATTTGATCCAGATGTGTAGAAAACGAGAATTTGTTGTATGGGAATACTGTTTAAAAAAACCAAAATAAAAATCCAATTCCCTTTAGGCCTTTAGGCATATTTGTAGGCATAGCCTATCTTTATTGGCACTGATGCTATAGCTACACATACTTTATGTGAGATATATTTAAGGTTCATATTCATATATTTAAAAAATTCAACTCATTTGAAATATTTAGACTTTGAGAACCAGGAAACCGTGCTAGAAAGTTGAGCTGGCATTCATGTACCATAAGATACATTTGGCTATTACCATACCTTTTGTCTGAAATAATCAGGTTAGGCCTACTAATCCACTTGCTAGGGGGGTTCCCGTGTGCATTTTATGTATAGAAAAACACCCTAAGGGATCATGTTGGTACTATGTGGGTTATCATTTTTTACGTGGGTGCCAGCTTGGCAGAGTGGGCATAACCTCAGAATCCGCCATTTTAAAAATGGCGGCGGCATTTATTACATGAAACTCATTAGGAGCTTATATCTCGAAAACGGTAATATATAGCGAGTTACTTTTATAACAATAAATGTTGCTTACACAATAAGGAACAACTTTTGTATTTACAAAAATGCCCTAAATTTAGGATTAGTTGAGCAATTTATGTTAATTTAACCTATACATTTTTACACTGTTTGAGAAAAAAATTAAGCTTAAAAATTAAATTAAATAAAATTAAATTAGCTAAAAATTAGTAATGCACTCATTACAAATCAATGTCATTTAAATAGGAAATCAATCTGTCAATTTTAATATTTTAGTAGAAATGCAGCCAGGTAAACGATTGCTGATTCTGCAGCTTTGCTGCGACGGGGGTATTTAGACCTTAGATGTAAAGAGCAATTAGTGCTATGTGCCAAATTTAAAAAACAGTTTTTTTAAGATATTATAATTTTTTTGCCAAACAGAGTAAAAATTTAGAGGTCTAATAAACATAAGTTGCTCAACTGCTCCTAAATAGTTATATTTAGGGCATTTTTGTAAATACAAAAGTTGTTTCTTATTGTGTAAGCAAAATTATTGTAGCAAAAGTAACTCGCTATATATTACTGTTTTTGAGATATAAGCTCCCAATGAGTTTCATGTAATAAATGCCGCCGTCATTTTTAAAATAGCGGATTCTGAGGTTATGCCCACTCTGACAAGCTGGCACCCACGTGAAAAATGATAACTCACATAGTACCAACATGATCCCTTAGGGTGTTTTTCTATACATAAAATGCACACGGAAACCCCCCTAGCAAGTGGATTATACCAGGTTTTATCTCTTTTCATTGACAGTCTTATGTCAGAGATATGATTAAAAGATAAAAGCTTGAAAGGTTGAAAGTAGGTAACATGTCTAATTATCTTGTTAAACTTTTGTCTGCAGACACTCAAAAAACTGGGAGAGGCTTCCTTACTCTGAAAGCATACAGGCTGACTCCGCAGGCCATAAACATAATACGCAAGCAGGATTTTTGTGACAATTACTCCTCCGAAACTACTGAACCGATTGTCATGTTTTTGGTGTCATTGGAAAGAGCGTAGCGTGAAGTTGTGCAGGAAACTTTCTTTTTAGGGAAATAATGAGAGAGTGAGGCCCTGGAGCCCTATAAAGTTTCGTATTTCTCCATAAGATTAACATTGGAAATAAAAATTGTTATGAAACTCCAGCTGTTGTCAGAAATCAAAAGTGAGAAGAAGAGCATAGGTTAATCCTAAACAGTCAATAAGTTTGCTAATATAGTATTATAACAGTTTGCTACAAATATTTACTTAGCAATTGCTCGAATTCGAGCAACAGGGACACTAGTTAAAAGATAAAAGCTTGAAAGGTTGAAAGTAGGTAACATGTCTAATTATCTTGTTAAACTTTTGTCTGCAGACACTCAAAAAACTGGGAGAGGCTTCCTTACTCTGAAAGCATACAGGCTGACTCCGCAGGCCATAAACATGCACAGAGAGGGTGAGTTCACCCCCGACGCTCTGAGGTCACTCAAGGTCGGCTACGAGACGCTGCTGATGGAGGTGCCGGTGGTTATCCGCAACTCTCCGCTGACCAACATCCTGCTGTCGGAGTTGACCGAGCTGGTGCCTCCGCAGCAAGGCTCCAACTTCCTGGACCTCGGCACGGCCACAGTGCTGGAAGGGCAGCTGCGCAGTCTGATGGAACACGTGGACGACCTCAACCAGGAGGCTATCAAGTTCAACCGGTACCAGCAGCAGGTGGTGCGTCAGACGCAGGACAAACACCGATTCTTGGCCAAGCGGGTGAGTAACCACTCATTTGTGGTTGAAACAATTACTTTACCTTTACTCAAGGGTGGTAACAGTTACCGGATATACCAGACTGCATTTTATATCCAAGAGAATCCGTTATTATTATTATTTTTTGAAAGAGGTTGGTAGCCTCATTATTTAACCTTGCATTTGCCCATCCACGTAGACTAACTGCACGTGCGTGGAAAGTATCCACCAAAGCAAGTAGTGAGCCGGTAAAGGACGAAGGTGAACTTCTTACTGTAAAAAAACTGTACCTTTACTGTAACTTCGTAACTGTACTGATAAAATGTTTGCGGCAGTGACCAGGATCTGAACCCTCGACATCGCTGCCTTGGGCCTGTAGTCCGTGACACTACGGACTCGCCTTTAGAAAAAATTTGGAATATCTCTCAAGTAGAACATTTTTTTTTATAGCCAATAAAACACTGTGCCTACAAACACACACCTATGCAACAGTTTAGAAATAATGAAGGTGTGGCTTCTGGTGACCTTTTAACATAAAGTACAGCAGTTCTAAACGTAGGTCTTAAGACAGTAGTCATAGCTAATAGTGAATGCCTCAGTCTAACAAAGTATGTCTACAGGCTCAAGAGACTGCGGCCAGACAGGAGAAGGGGTTGCCTGCGTTGCCTGAGGAGGACGTCAACAAGCTGTTCCGTCCGATAGCTGTTCCCCCCCGCCTGGCCCCCATGATACTGGCGGGGCAAGTGGATACATACAGTCAACACATCTCACAGTTCTGCTCACAAGCCCTTGCCAAGCTCTACATAATGCAAGGCCTGCATCAGTGATATGAGAGTGACAAATAAATTTGCAATTCCTCTTCTAAGGCTGTTTTCTTTTAACTCATCGTTAATTCATAACTTTTAAGGTAATAATGGTAAAAAAAATAATGAAGAAGTAATGAAAAGGGTGTTAAATGTATTTTTATTTGGAAGTAAGTTTGATAAAACGTTTGAAGGACTGTACACAATTTTTTTAGATCGGATAAATTACTTCAGGTCTTCTGTGCAGTTTCGAATCGTCCTGTAACAAGTTACGTATTTTAGTAATTGCACTATTCATAAATTGGGCAATGTTAACCGCGATCATGTGATGGAATGTTATTTTTTCTTTATTATTTTTGATCCATAAAAACCATTAAAAAAAATAATATCAAGTATGTAGAGAAGATTTTATTTCATAGTCCTTTGCATGAGTGAATAGACTGGCAAAATCTTGTTTTCATATTTTCTACTTTCGTCAGTTATTAAAAATTGTCACTATAAATTTACACTTACTTAAATCATTAAAAAAATTACAATAAAACATTTTTGTAAAACCTCTTTCTTTTGAGGCATAAAAATGCAAACACAAGAAGGATCAACAGATCTTTCACGAGTTGTTAAACAGGGAAAGATGAAAATATTGAAAAAAGCAACTGGAAATTGGACAAATAATGTTATTTGCTCCTAAAATCCATTCACGACAGACTTGACCCTAAAGACAATTTCCAACACATTTCTATCGGCAACAAAAACTTTCAATGCACTCTATAACATGTAGGAATGGTAATATTAACATGAGTTATTGTGCTTGGTTGCTATTATGCAGTTTTAAGTTTTCCCCCAAAAATAACACTTTCAAATCTAGGCTTAGTGCAATTCCTCATTGGCAAAAATTCGTCATAAGATAAAACACAGTGTATCCATAATACTCACCTTCAGTCTCTTATCTTTAGGCCACGTACTCGTAGACTCGTCTGGAAAAGACAACTTGCGTTATAAATCTTCACATGTCGTAAACAATCAGACAATGAACTGATTAAGGTATAAGAAGAGTATATTCCATTCATTAAGTTATTTTATCAGAGAGGAAAATATCCAACCCTGAAGTTTTATTTGGCCTTTTATCGAGTCCTGTCTTAATGTTTCCTCTAAGCATTGGTTGGTCTGCATTCCAGAAATAAAGGATACATTCAATTTATTCATGTAAATTGTCACAAATTACACCATATACAGAGGAGTTTCCTCAATGGTAGATGACATGTCAAAAATATGATACAAAAATGTTAAAAACTAAATTAAAATGTAACTTAAACATAATGAGAAAACAAACTCTCCACATGAACCATTTTACAAACTACTATTACTATATAAAAATTAGGGATGGACGGGATTGAATTTTTAGTTCGGGACGGGACGGGACGGGATTTTTATTTCCTTCCCGATTTTCGGGACGGGACGGGACGGGATTTTTTTCTGTGCATAAAAAGAAAGTACTGTATTGCAGTTACCAAAAAAGACATACGAAATCAATTTTTACCATTTGTGGCAATGATCTATAAAAACCAAAAAATGGGTAACAATTTACAGGTAGGCTACCTATAGAAACTTGTGACTCACGGTCACGGCGCGATCGTCGTCATGACTCGCGGTCACGGCGCGATGTTCGGTATGACTCCGCGGTCACGGGGTTATCGTCTGTATGACTCACGGTCACAGCGCGATCGTCGTCATGACTCGCGGTCACGGCGCGATCGTCGGTATGACTCCGCGGTCACGGCGCGATCGTCAGTATGACTCCGCGGTCACGGCGCGATCGTCAGTATGACTCCGCGGTCACAGGCTTATCGTCGGTATGACTCCACGGTCACGGCGCGATTGTCGTCATGACTCGCGGTCACGGCGCGATCGTCGATATGACTCACGGTCACGGCGCGATCGTCAGCATGACTCGCGGTCACGGGGCGATCGTCGTCATGACCCGCGGTCACGGCACGATCGTCGTCATGACTCGCGGTCACGGGGTTATCGTCGGTATGACCCCACGGTCACGGCGCGATCGTCGTCATGACTCGCGGTCACGGCGCAATCGTGGGTATGACTCGCGGTCACGGCGCGATCGTCGGTATGACTCGCGGTCACAGCGTGATCGTCGGTATGACTCGTGGTCACAGCGCGATCGTCGTTATCACTCCGCGGTCACGGCGTGACTGTCGGTATGACTCCGCGGTCACAGCCCGATCATCGTTATGACTCGCGGTCACGGTGCGATCGTCGGTCCAATAATCGCGGCCACGGCGCGATCATTGTTATGACTCCGTGGTCACGGCGTAATCGTCGAAATGACTTCGGGTCCTGCGTTCGCGGACCTATCGCTCGCAATAACGGCGTTATCGGCACTCGCGAAGCGGAAAAATCGCCGACGATCGGACCAAATCCCGTCCCGAAAAATTCTCGAGTTTAATGTAATCCCGTCCCGATAATCGGGAATATTTTTTTCCCGAAAAATTCCCGAAATTTCGGGACCCGTCTATCCCTAATAAAAATGAAATCCTCTACTGAATAAAACATATGGCTCTTTAGATAGTTAACAAGTTTTCTTTTAAATGCTTTGGCAGAAGATTCATTGCGAATATGAGAAGGTAGTTTATTAAATAATCGGCTGCCTGTATAGAATGGTGTCTTTTCAAAAGCTGCTGTTCGATGTATCGGCAAAGAAAGATTACAATTACGTGTAGGATAGTTATGTGTAGATTAATTCAATTCAATCAATCAATTCAATCAGATCAATTCAATTCTTTATGACAGCGAAGCATACTATGGTGTATATTTTAACCTGAATATGAATGAAGGATGAGTGTAAATTGGATTGAGATGATCTGTGTTGCTTTGTTACTGACTAAGATCAGCTGTTTCATATCCAGGACCATTTATTAAAAGCCTAATGATCAAGGACAGCTGGGTCCAGTTTTGAACCAACAAAAAGCTTATTTATTTTCTCAGATACACAGTCTGATACACATTACACAGTCTGTATGTGATTTTCACAAATGAATCCATCACTTTCAAACTCCTTAAGCGATTGACTTGAAACTTGGTACGTAAGTAGTGACACGTAAGGCTAATCTTTGTACAAAGTATCAGGTTTATAAATTGAGCCAATTCAAAATGGCGGCCATTTGATATTTTCTTCCTTAAATAAATCGAAAACTGTTGATTTAAAAAAAAATGTTTAAGAATAACTTTTTTAAGGCAATTTAAAGTAATTTAACGTTGATTGACGTTATTTTTTAGCAGCTTTAGTGATACATAACCACTAGAGGCTAGTTGCAGTGCATACCGAGGCATGTGGCTAAAGTCCGCCACAACAACGCAAGAGTCTCCGTCCGCTTTGCAAGCTATTTTAAAGTGATTTTAGATTATTTCAAACAAGAGAGTTAAATAAGTCTTAGTTAAATCAATCAACAACTAAACGTCAGTAAGATAAGTCTGCTCTTAAACCTATCCTCTACAAAATCCTTAAAAACAATATGTACAGTATGTTTCAATTACTCAGCTTAAGTACGCTGCTGAGGTTCACAGTTTTAGCTGCTGTAGGTAACTAACCTGTCTTTTTTACTTCTGACAATGAATCCCCTCTCTATCAGGTCTTCAATTCTGATCTTGATAAACTCTTTGCTGGCCATAAATCGGGGACTTAACATTTTGATCACCTCATTCGTTAACATATCATGCTGAAAGATGAAGCTTGTTAAAAAATATCAATAGACTACAAACGATTTTAAAACAATATAAACTTAAGAACTCTTGACAATTTATTGTTTACAGGACTTGGAGAGGGCCGAACTACCAAAAATAATAAAACGTAAAATACTAACCAAAGTAAACCAAGAAAAGTCAACTTTTGACGTTATATACTTTTCCTACAATTGCATGGAAATTATCACATTGCCATTCCTGTAAACAGTACGCAAAATAGCTCATTGCCGCTCTAAAGCGGGAATAGATCATTTCCGCTCGCTTAATCAGCTGATTTTCCAGTTGTAGTTTGTAGACCAACCACAGCTGCGTATTCCGTATGCTAGTTACCAACCAGTAAAAAATAACATAATCATTAAAATAACAAACATAACCTAAATGTAATTTTATGTACAAAAGTTAATACGTGTATTGATATAAGTTAATTATGGTAATAGGAAACATCTTGTATGTATTAGGAGCACAAACAATCATTAGGCTCCTAATACACAAATAGTCATTTCCTTTGTAAGAGATTTAAATTTATCTGTGCTACAATTATTACAAAACATGGTTTATCTAGTTCATTAACCCTTGATTATTACAGCTGTATCACTTTGGCTTGAATACGTAAGGTGTTAACTATGTTCTAAACTTAACTAAGCCTACATCCATTACACAAGTTAACTGTTGAATATACATTATGCACTTCCGAACCTTAGTTCAACAGAGGAATAATCATGCTAAGCACAATTTATAATTTATTTATTCTACACACTAACCACCGTACTAATTCGTGTAAAGCTTGCAAGACTAGACTAGAAACAGAAACACTATCTAAAAAGATGGGAGACTCAATAGTGCCTCAGTATCGTCGACATTGGTTGCTGCCTTATTTAGTCTGATTACTGTGTGGGTCATACTAATGAGTGATCATAAAGTGGCGCTTACATTGGAACACTGCTCACCTTGGCAGTCTTACGAGCTTTTAAAATCCTCATGACAGCAGCTTCAACTTCATGTTTTCGTTCTTCAATTATTCTTGTCATCCTGTCTGGATCTCCTGTGGCCTCAAACTTTATTTGTACTTGTGGAAGCTTTATCCTGAAAACAATTAATATATTTTCGGTACATATATTTGAAAGTATTTTCAAATTCCAAATTTCAACTTAAGTAATTTTTGATGTGATTGTGTTTTGGGTTTAAAATTGTATAATTTCACTCTGTGGCGGTCTTAAGGGGGGGGGGGGGCTACAGGGGCTGGAGCCTCCCCCCATTGGACCTTATAAAAATAAATGTACTTTTTGTCCTAAAAATGTAACAGGATTCTGGATACAGTTCTTCTAGATATTAAAAATAACTTTAAAAGTTACCAAACGACTTTAAAAATACCAAATTTTCCCTGAAGCCCCTCTTCTCTTTGGGGGTGAGATAACCCCTGGTAGCCTTGACAAGGTCCTAGAACAACCACTGATTTCGCAAACATCCTCAACGATTTCAGAGACATCATCATCGTCTTCTAGGATCGTGGCCCCATAGACGATATCCCTGGCGATCGCAACAATTTGATTATCATCTATTGTGATTGCGTAAATATCAAAGACATCACTCGGAAATCGGTGGAGTTTGGAACAAATAATCCCAAATTAAATGTAACTTCATGTTAAAAAAAAAAAAACATAAATCCCAAATTAAAAACCAAATACTACTGGGTTATATTTCATGATCAATTTTACACCCCCACTATAGCGGCGCGGATTCTAGTCAGTCAAATAGTAGTTCAAACTATGCTTACGTACCTGCTACCTTTTGAGCTTAAAGTTTCATTGACAGAGAATACATCATCCAGATGACCCTGTGAAGGACTGGCTGATCTGTTCAGTATTTTCTGGAAGCTTTTACCAGAAGAGAGTGACTGAAGAGAACGCAGCAAATCTTTCATTGGTATCTTTGTATTTTCCTGTAATCCCTGAAAACCTTGAAATTTGTATTACTTTTCAAGAATAGCATGTTCCTTCTATTATACATAATTATTAAAGTAAAGTCAAATAAACTTGGCACCATGTAGTTCGGATCTCTCAGCAAACACTTTAAGAATGTCTAAAGAACCGTACGGTTAAATTTCATTTATTTTCACCACACTACCATGTTTTTAGCCGTTTGACAAACGCTTATTGAAGGCCGAAAGCTACGTATTGCTGTCCATGCCAGCTGTCATAATCATTTTGGGACCGAGCAGGTTTTTACATCCCTAGTGCTGAAAACCTGCTGTTTGCTTATTTACTTTTCAAATATTAAAATGTGTATTTTAAAAACACAAGCAGTACCCAGATGCAATGCAATAGACTTGTTTTATCGTCACCGCTGCCTAGGCAACTATTTATTGTTACTTTTGCTGATTGCTCAAAATATTTCACATAACCTAAATGTTGTAGTTGTGTTGACTGTTAGTGTGCATTATTATTGTGGTGAATACTGGTAATAGAGTATAGTGTGGTGAAAAATAGCGTTTGTACCACGGACCGAAATGGTTTTGCAGTTTTCGATCGTTTCAAGTACTCAACTTCATCTAAATCTCGAGCCGGCAAAACCTCATTTTCGGCCCTAGGTATGAAATATACTATTATGACCCTGCAAGCAACCTTGGTGACGAACTACTAAATAAATTAGCAGCTTGAAAAGCTACTGCCTTTGCAGTTTGGACCTAGCCTATTTAACACTTTAACCGAAACACCGGCCTGTGAGACTGGAGGGAAAATTGATTTTTCTGCAGTTGTTTATGCAAAGGCTTCTTTTTTTCAACAATCCCTTAGGCTGGTTTTATGCACCGCTACAGTCGCGTGTCGCGTGTCGCGGCGCGACTCAAGTTCTATTGAGTTAAATGGGAGCATTTATGCACCGCGACAGCGACAAACTGCCGCGCGAGCGACTCGGAAATCTCTAAATACCCGCGACAGGTTTTAGAATCGCAGCTTCAAAAAATGTGTCCCGCGCGGTTCAAGTTCTATTGGATCAAATGAGCACATTTATGCATCGCGACAGTCGCGGCGCGACAGTAGTATTTTTCATACTCCACGTGGTACATTCTCCATACATTTATATTGATTAATGTTAATCTATACTATTATAAAAAAAGAGGTGGTTGCTGTATGTGTGTATGTGTGTATGGGAAAAGTAAACTCGAAAAATACTGGTCAGATTGGGCTGAAATTTGGCATGATTAGTATATAAATGAGTTCTTAACCCTTTATTTGTAATATAAATTACATCATTATATTATGTAATGTCATTTTTAAGAGGGTTGACCCAATTCCAACTGTAAATTGTATGTGTTGATAAAATAACTGGGGTTTTGTCATTAACGTGTACAACACTACACAACACACAACATTGGATTGAGAACAGGCTGATTTCTTTAATTCCCCCACCACCGGATGTGAGTTACGCGACAAAAAAGTGTCGCTGTCGCGTGACATTTTGGTCAGCCGCAAGACGTGGCGCGACACGCGACTCGCGACTGTCGCGGTGCATAAAACCAGCCTTAAAGTGTGCATAGACTGTGACTGTATGTAAAAGACAAGTTCAGACAAGAATATTTTTATTTTTTATTTTATGTCTCCAGTATATTGTATGTTTTATGTTTATTATACATTTTATTACATTTTTTGTAAATTAATATTACTTTTATAATACATATATTTGTACTAAAATGTATGTTTTATTTTCTTTAAGCCCACATATACTTAAAAAAATACCCCCGCCGCAGCAAACCTGCCAACTAAGCGAATTTCTATTTGCCTGAACTGATTTTCAATTGAATGTATTTAATTAACATTAGGTTTTATGAGTACCTAGGCTTGGTGCTACAGGGAGGGTAAAAAAGGGTGTTTTTAGTAAAATATGAATAACTTTGTATAAAATAAATAAATTTACCAAGTTTGACCAAAATATATCCATAAACAAGCAAACTACAACATTTTACAATATTCTCCATAAGAATAACATGGGCATTTTAAAATACAATTTTTTTGAATTTTCTCCGTAACCAATAATTGTACAAAAACACTTTGATATACTAAATTATTTCTTTTTTTAAGCTCTTTAAAAAGGTCTGGAGAGAAATTGGGAAATTTTGTGTTTAGAGGGTAAAAAATTAGAAAAACCAATTTTTACCCCATTTTTTACCAGATTTTTAAAAACAGTTTGCGGCATTGTAATTAGGGTAAAAATGTAGTTCGAAATAATGGGTCACAACCCCACCTTTACATTTGAAAAAAAAATGTTGCATCCAATATGGCGGGTCCAAGATGGCGGCCGGAAATGACCACCTTGTCAAAATGAAGTACTTACTACCCAACAATGTTTGGAAGTGGTCTGGGATTGATATTTGAAAAAATGTAGAAAAAAGTTGGGGGGGGGGGACAACTAAAACTCACCCTGTATAAATAAAGATTAAACATTAATAAACTTAGTACCCAAGTAAAATTATTTATTAAAATATTTACTAACTATAGTTTCGGCTCTAAGGCCATTTTCAAAGTATATATATCTATATATATATATACATATATAAAAATTTGAACGAATGGTGTTTTTGGCCTCTGGGGACATCAAAATGAAAAAGTAAATTGGTCCCGGGCCTAGGTCTTACCATGCCACCTACGGTAATAGCTACTTCCCTATAGGGAAATTCGCTAATACTTAATCTAAGATTTTACATGAAATTTGTTGATGAAAAATCGTCCGGTCTCTGGGACAGGATGTTTCTATTTACTTAAGTGTCATCCATGTTTCGGTTTAAGTGTTAAGGACATTAAGACCAGGACATGGGTGTCGTGTATACCTGACAATTAGAGGGGTAGCCAGTCAGTTGGACGGTACAATAACCATGAATAACTAAGTTGCATAATTCATTCAAAAATTTAATTCTTAAGTATTAAATTGTAAATGTAACTACAGTACGTTTCAAAAATTAAAAAAATAAATGTAGCCCACTATATTATATCTCATTTTTAATTGCTGCCATTTTTCTTGATAATGGCACTTCTTAAACTTGGCAGCCTTTCAAGATTTAACTTATGTTATTTATATAAGGATCCAAACCAAACACATATACAAGAGCGACACAAAATCTTGAGACAAAATGACAGCCATATTGTGTCTTAACACGTTAGTTGTTGTGTTTTAGTGAAAGAGAAATGTGATTGGTTTTAAACAAAGTACGCGGTAGCAATCAAAGGACAGAAGCTTAAAAGTAGTAACTAAATGTCATTTCCAATCCAAATTTCACCTGAAGAGTCCAGTGGGACTTGATGTTAAACAGCATCAAGATGCACATCTGGTATGTTGATACTGGCAATGTGTACTCTTTCCCTTGAAATGACGCCTTCATCTCCGCAGAGCCCAGCTGAGGCAGTAAAGTCAACTGACGACCGCAGTGACGGGAAAGGTAGAACCTGTCAACAAACATCTGGCTGTAAAGACTCGATTCCACTGGTCTAGGTTACAAGCTACTAGTCAGTCCGTCGTATATTAGCAGTTATTGTATAATTTATGTTGAGGAAATTTGTTGATTTGATGGATTATGTGGCAAACCCTGAACATATACAGACTTAATCCACGGAAAGTTGCCAAACTAACTTCTCCTCTGCAATCTCTTACTCTTACTTACTTACTTACTTACTGGAGTGGCCACTGGTACCCTAAGAGGTACTTGGCCTCGCCCACACACTGCCTCCAGATGTCTCTGTCTTTGGTGTCATTTTCACTCCTTCCCAGTCTTCTTACATCTTTTTGTACTTGATCCTTCCATCTAAGTTTGGGACGGCCTCGTGGTCTCCTGCCTTCTGCGTTTCTATCAAGTACATTTCTCGTAGTGGAGTCTTCCTCTCTTCTCGAAATATGACCAAACCATCTCAATCTTCTGCTCTTGACTTCCGCTATGATGTCAGGGTCTTTATAGCGCTCCCTAATCTCGATGTTGTGTCTCATTCTCCATATCCCATCTTCCAGTGTCGGGCCATATATTTTCCTGAGAACCTTGTTTTCAAATGTTATAATTTTCTTTTCTATTTTTTTGCTCATTGCCCATGTTTCTGAGCCATACAGTAAAACCGGTCTTATTATTGTTTTATAAATACGTAATTTGGTGTTGTGGGATAATAATTTTGAGCTTAACAATCTATTGCTTAATAATCTCTTACTCTATGTTGATTAATTCCACTCGAGACCATGGATGAAATTAGACTCCTTTATAAGATACATCAACCTTAAAAATTCAGCTGAAGGTAATTTATTGTTAGTCCTGTACAGTTTAAATATAAATATAGGGCTGTTTAAATAGGGTGTCATGATGTTTAATCTGTTTCTTTAAGTTATCTTAGTTTTATAGAGGAAAAACACTTAATTTAGGAGTACATTAAGGTAGAAGGAATAGATACAAAACGTAACTTACCTATTAGATGAGTCCTAGGTAGTTAAAAGTTTTCACAACATTTTGAGATTAGTCGTGAAAACTTTGGTTTTGTTTTTTCAATTTTTGATGAATAGGATTGTCTATTTGCTCTATATAAAGTAATTGACGAAACTTACTGCTTGAACGAGTCGTACGCAGTCTGGGTGTGGGAAGGCAGACGACATGGTGGAAGAATATCAATCATTGGCCAGAAACCTGCTGTCAGAAGACGCACACTTAGCTCAACACCAGTGATTGGATCCTGTAATAAACTCTAGCTGATCCCATGGTTTGCAAAAGCCTTAAATATTAAGGTTAGGCAAACTTCACAAACTTACCAGCAAACTATTACAAAAATACCATTAAGTAGAGAAAGTGACTGGCAATTATAAATGCAAATATGATTTGAGGGAATAGTGTAGAATGGAGGGAGATATTTCTGTAGCTACGTTCAACCATAATTCTATGAGTACGAATCCATATTTTATGCAATATTATGATAAACTTCTCAATATGTCCATAGAAAATTTAGAAACTTGATATTGTGATTATTGCCAACCTAAATCAATAAGTAAATCCTTATGAAAATGGACATGTTTACCCAAGTATCCGTGACATGGTTTTGGAACTCTGCAGTGATTTCTGAGGAGTTTAAAATGTCTCTAAACATTCCTTCCATCTTGCGAGTATACTGGAGACCACACTCTGTCTGAAAAGAAATCTCTATCAACTCCATAGTGATATACAGGGTTTTAAAATACGTTGTATGGCAGACTTCTTTGCATTATCTAGGTATTTTACGACTTAGTTAACGCTTAAACTTTTTTTGAGATTACCTTTGTGTTGTAGCTTGCAGTTCTTGAGTAGGTAAGATGTGACTTCACCTTATGCATGTTGCCAGCTTCTGCGCCATCTTCAGGAGTCTTTAAGTTATCTTCTTATCACTAACACTACATTCTATACTGTATTTAGAAAAATATTCACACACAAGCGGTCACTAACTAACTATCAATGTGGTCGGACAACGTAACGACAGAGAGTCTGATCTACCTGGCCCCGATAATAGTGACTGCAAGTGTGTATACATTTTTGTAAATAAAAACATTATATAGACCATAGTGTTAGTGATAAGAAGATACCTTAAGAAGACTCCTGAAGATGCCGCACAAGCTTCAGGCATGTATAGATCTTACCTACTCAAGAACTACTGACTACAACAACAAAGGTACCGTAATCTACTATTTAATTCAAGCTTTTGAAACTGGGGGGGATAAAACATTTATTACATTTTACATATTTTTCTTTCGAACCAAAGTTGGACAAAAGAAACACAAACTAATATTATTCTAATATTTTTACTTAAGTCAAATAAATATTTAAGAAAGTTATTGATTTGAGAATATTGATGAATCAAAATTAATATAGCTATAATTAATATACTGTACTGTACTGTGTGTATGTACTGTGTGTTTTTTCATGTGAAAAAATATTTGTTCTTCAAAAAAGAGCAGTAAGAAAGAATAATGGCCTGAGTTCCCAATAGAACACATTGTAAAGATTTATTTATTCAGTTTAAAATTTTGACCTTTTTTTGCTCTTATCACAGAAAACGTACTACTATAACCCAGAATGCCAACCGCATGGTAAAAAGCATTAAGCGGTTTGAGAGAGCTTTGCCTGTCAATCGTAGGCAGCGCCACCAGCGTTGCCATGCAATAGCATAGCAACGCTGGTGGCGCTACCTACGGATTGACAGGCAAAGCTCTCTCAAACCGCTTAATGCTTTTTACCATGCGGTTGGCATTCTGGGTTATAGTAGTACGTTTTCTGTGCTCTTATATACAAATTGGCATTAATGGTTGAAAGTGATTTCGATACATTCATGGACTGTCAACCATCTCATACACATAACACAAGATTAAAAAATATTATAAAACCAATTCAACATAGGCTTAAAATATTTCATTTATCTCCTCAGTATATAGGGCCAAAAGTTTACAATAAACTACCTGCTGAGATAAAAAACGTTGCCTCAGTTTCTAAATTTAAATCATCTTTAAAAAGTTTCCTTTTGGGGAGGGCATTTTACTCACTAGAAGAATATCTTGGAGATGTGATTACAATTTGAAAGGTATTACTTCTCCCATAGGTTTGTATTGATTGCTTTATTTGTTTTGTATTTTATAATGTAGATTTTTATAATGTAGATTTTTCAATGTATAATTTTATTAGACGTAATGACAAATCACCTGTCAAGAGAATTGATGTAATGTGATGATGTTAAATAAATAAATAAACTGTATTTGAATGTTCATAGGGGGGCCAGCTGGTTTTCTAGTAGAATGCAGAGCTTTGATCCCATAGGCCCCAGGTTCAAATACCGCCAATCACTATCTTTAATGTGGCTACTAGGTATGGAGTGTCAACAATCTGACACAACCATATAGAGTACCTTGGGACTTTGTATATTGGTAAATAAAAAAATGCTCATAACTTTACTGTATCAATATACTAAACTTACCCTTAGTTTGCCTATGAATGCCATCTCTTGCTCTTCACTAATAGTCTTGTTGAGTAACAGTCTCTTTGCCAAATGTTGTTTATAAAATTGTTCAAACATGTCTTTGTCCCGCAGGAATCGAAAAAGTTCTACAGTATTTTCAAGAACAGCTTTGTCTTCGTAGTTGAACTGTATAAAAAAGGTTATTGCTATTATACAAGTAGTAAATCATTTTAATACAATATTTGAGATAAAGTTCTTATAACTTGTATTTACTGTTGGCCTCTGTTAAAATAAGCAGATTAAAATATTTACGGTTTGCCGATGCAAACTTCGATAAAAAAACACTAATTATCCATGACATCAATTAGATCTCAAGACTCAAGGATATCTGTATATTAAGCCTGTGGCAAAAACTATTTAGATAAGAATGCAGCAACAATTTGTTTATGGATAGTTTTTGGAGGAAGGATCAATTGGCTTAGGAATTCGTAAAAGAAGAAGGAATAGATACAACTTACCCGAAAAAGGTTTCAGACATAGTTCACAGCACACAAAAAAGGTTAAAAATAGAAAACTAATTTTGATTTCACTATAGTTAACAATATGTTACACAAAGTCTATCCATATTTTTTTGTGTAGAATTCTTAAAAAAAATATTTAATACACTACCAGAAAAAGATTAATTAGTTCCTCCTTACCCCGTTGGCACATTTCTTCAACCTGTCATCAATGAAGAGTGAAAGATACTCTGGAGACTTGCTGTTTATGTTTAGGACATATTCAAAGTCCAAAGCAATCATTTGCTTGCAGAATTTGTCATTAGAGAATGAGTTTGCTAAGAAATAATCAGTGAACTGTTTAATTTCTAACAGCCTCTGGAAAACAAGATCATAACCATTGTTAGTGATCAAAAATTTCAAATTATGTTAAGAGGACATTTTTGCATTAGCCTGTTAGAAAAATACTAATAAACTGTGCATTAATGATGGTAGTTAAGTAAGGGCCGGTTGTTCTTAGTTTGCGTGTACTTCTCAACAAGCCTCCTTGCCTTTACTGGCATTCTTTTTGTGAAAAAAATGTGTGCCTAAAATGCAGAAATTGGTTAGGGGGTGTAAAAACGACCGTGAAAATGTTCATTTTGGAAGGAATTGTATTTTTAGTGGTACCCAGACCTCTCACAGAAAACCACAAATGAAAAAGGTTTTCTTTCAGGATAATTTCACTCCCTAACCCCTTTCTGTCCTTAAACCTCATTCATGGCATTAGGGCCATAACCTTCAGTCATCTGGCGATGAATGTCTGCAGCCGACCAGTTTCTTGCTGGAAAAAAAACATATCACTGACCTTATCTTGCATGCGGCCTTAGATTCAACAATTTTAATAATTTCTAGACATTTTTGTTCATGAATGATACCAGTAGGGGGCTAGCGGCCTGATTGAGGTGTGCACACCAATGGCAAAAAAGCCCTTACTTAAAATCACCAATCACATCCTTATAGTAACTTTTTTTGGAAATACAGTACTGTGATTCATAAAATAAAAGAATTTGATTTGATTATTTGGTTGTTGCAACTGAATGAGCAGTCCAACTACCTACCACTTGTGGAAAGTTAAGCTGTTTGTATTAGGTTAGGCAATCATTGCCATGGGTATAATCGTTTGTTGCTGTAAAAATTCCTATACCTACATAAAAAAATTTATTTTTTCACAAGTACAGTACCTAACTTACTAATCTTTAAAGAGGTATCATATAGGTAGAGACAACTCCTAATTACAGTGGGAAAAATTCTCAAATCAGTCATGTTATAATTTTTGACAAAAAAAAGTGTTTAAATCCTAGCTAAGCCTATCTAGTACAGGTAAAATTATACTAAAAAACCAGTAGAAAACATAAAAATTAGTCCATTCATGAAACTTGCAGGAAACGTAGTAATTGCCATTAGGTATTGGAATCTGAAGAGTCCCTAGTGATTGTGGGGGTGGAAGTACCATTTTATGGGGTTTTGAGTTTATGGGGGTAGTGATTTTGAGAAAATTTTTATTTATGGCATCCAAGCAAGTGGGGTGTCGTTTTCTATGTTTCTTAGGATGCAGAATCGAAAAAGAACATAATAAAAGCAATAAAACCGACAGTTTATCAGAAAAAGACTAATTTATTAATGAAAAACTAAATATGACAAATTAATTAAGGTAAAATAATCCAGTTAATTAATATCAATCACCTATTACAAAATTGATCATGAGTCTGTGTCACATGTTAAAGTTGTGAGGAAAATTAACCAATAAACTGGTAGTTACGCCTCTTTAACTACCACGTGTCATATTGTTCATCAGCTACTGATGCATCATCACCTTCCATGGAATCGTCAGGGTCTCTAACTCGTTCTTCTCCATCATCGTTTTGACTTAACACCGACAGCTTAGTAGTGGGGATGGGTAGCAGAAACATATTTCAGTTCTGGCGATGATTCTGCAACTTAGGGTGGCGATAATATATAAGACCAAGTATGTAAAACCGCCCAGACCCAAATTTTTAAGGACCTTGGTCACCCGTAATGATGTCATCAATATGGCGCTCGTAAGAGGATGCCGGGTCGCTATGAAGTGGTTATTATACCAAAATGCCTGAACCGATTTTAATGAAATTTGGCATACAGGTGCTTGAATACTATATCTAATCCCAGTTTCTCAATGGTCGAGTTTGATTCGGTCATTTCAAAATGGCGGCCGTAAATAATTAAAATAATTAAAAATTGTTTAATGTTTTGTTTTTTCAACTCTCTCCAGAAATCTGCAGCGATCTTTAATTTTCCTTGCAATCACAGGTTTTGATGCCATCTCTGCATTTCATGGAATAGGCCAAATACCCCCACTGCAGCAAACCTGCAGATTAAGTGAGTTTCCATTTGCCTGATTTGATTTTCAATTAAATCCATTTCAATAACATTAAGTTTAGTGTTAACTATGTTTGCTGCTACGGGGAGGATAATAAAGTGTGTTTTTATAATTAAAACATTAATATCTTAGGTAAAAATAAATAAATTTGCCAAGTTTTATCAAAATATATCCATAAACGAGTAAACTACAACAGTTTACTTATTCTCCATAAGAATAAATGTGAATGTAAATTTACAATTTTTGAATTTTCTCGGTAGGTAACCAATATCCGTACAAAAACACTTCAATAAACAAAATTATTTGGTTTTTAAGGTATTCAAATTCATCATGGTATCCAAATTGGTTTAGAGAGAAATTGGAAAATGTTATAGAGGGTTAAACATTACAAAACCCAATTTTGACCCCATAAATCCCCCCAAAAACCCCGTTCCCATGGTCTGATCATGCTTGATTGCGAACTCATTAGAATCAATTCAAAGATTTGTTTTACTTTTCTATATGACACAACATCAAACTTTAACAGCGTTAATGACTGTAGACGTGTACTTTTTAAAGAACGTTAGCACAACTCAAGTAATAACTTAAGCAAAAATTACCCAATGTTGACGTAATTTGGTAAAAACGTGTAAACCTACGTTTACTCGAACGAGTTCGCGAACCAGCATGATCGGACCATGAGAACGGGGTTTTCTGGGGGATTATTGGGGTAAAAATTGGGTTTTCTCATGTTTGCCCCTCTAAACGTAAAATTTTCGAAATTCTCTCTAAACTATTTTGAATACCCTGATTAGTTATTTTGCTAGTTTATGGTTATATTTTGATAAAACTTGGCGAATTTATTTAACCTATTCATATTTTAATTAAAAAACAAACTTTATTACCCTCCCCGTAGCAGCAAACCTAGTTAACACTAAACTTAATGTTATTGAAATGGATTTAATTGAAAATCAAATCAGGCAAATGGAAACTCACTTAATCTGCAGGTTTGCTGCAGTGGGGGTATTTTGCCTATTCCATGAAATGCAGAGATGGCATCAAAACCTGTGATTGCAAGGAAAATTAAAGATCGCTGCAGATTTCTGGAGAGAGTTGAAAAAACAAAACATTAAACAATTTTTAATTATTTTAATTATTTACGGCCGCCATTTTGAAATGACCTAATCAAACTCGACCATTGAGAAACTGGGATTAGATATAGTATTCAAGCACCTGTATGCCAAATTTCATTAAAATCGGTTCAGGAATTTTGGTATAATAACCACTTCATAGCGACCCAGCATCCTCTTACGAGCGCCATATTGATGACGTCATTACGGGTGACCAAGGTCCTTAAAAATTTGGGTCTGGGCGGTTTTACATACATGGTCTTATATATTATCGCCACCCTAAGTTGTAGAATCATCGCCAGAACTGAAATATGTTTTTGCTACCCATCCCCACTACTAAGCTGTCAGTGTTAAGTCAAAACGATGATGGAGAAGAACGAGTTATAGACCCTGACGATTCCATGGAAGGTGATGATGCATCAGTAGCTGATGAACAATATGACACGTGGTAGTTAAAGAGGCGTAACTACCAGTTTATTGGTTAATTTTCCTCACAACTTTAACATGTGACACAGACTCATGATCAATTTTGTAATAGGTGATTGATATTAATTAACTGGATTATTTTACCTTAATTAATTTGTCATATTTAGTTTTTCATTAATAAATTAGTCTTTTTCTGATAAACTGTCGGTTTTATTGCTTTTATTATGTTCTTTTTCGATTCTGCATCCTAAGAAACATAGAAAACGACACCCCACTTGCTTGGATGCCATAAATAAAAATTTTCTCAAAATCACTACCCCCATAAACTTAAAACCCCATAAAATGGTACTTCCACCCCCACAATCACTAGGGACTCTTCAGGTTCCAATACCTAATGGTAATTACTACGTTTCCTGCAAGTTTCATGAATGGACTAATTTTTATGTTTTCTTAGGTGAGTTTTACCTGTACTAATCATTCTACCGTCACCCCTCCTCAATCTCTGTTAAAGTACAGTCAATGGTACATACAGTGTCACAGTCGTAGTATAGCAACTTAGTGAATAAAAATATTTAAAAATCAATTGTATTTAATAAAGAAATACATCAATCTTGAATAAAGGTTTGAAACTTTATACGCTTTTCTCTTGTTGAATGATCAACATGGGCAAGTTACAACAGCTTGAAGTTACAAACCTCTATGATGTTTACGGGCTTCGGTTCTTGGTTCACCATTATTTCGCATCCCTGCTGACGCAGGTACCCACTCATACTTTCGAACATAACCCTCAAACCTTCCGGCACCCTGGATAAAAGCTGGTACATCATCTTTAGGTCTTCCGTCAACTGGTTGCCCATCATGTGGACCACACCAGATTCTGGCATCTGTCAACAATGTATTTTCCTACATTAAAAACAGGAGGTTAAACAAAACCTTTTGATAAAGTTCATTTGCCCTCAACCCTCAAAGTTTTGCCAATATTAAAAATGGGTCACGATAATGTTTTATAAGACATTTGGTTTTTAACACTCATTGATTTTGTTTTAACACTAGTGCCTTGACTTGTTGAAATGAAAATTAACCTTGATATAGGTAGAGAACTTTTACTTTTGGAAATACTAATGGTACCTACATTTATCAACTCGTTTCATAGAATACTTTTTGTTTTTTATTTTGTTGGTATTAGAACATTGTGAAATCTAGAGATCTTACTGCTTTGGGTCTGGTTATCTAGCTACTATCACAGAAAAGTGAGGTACAGAGGAAATTTGCTTATGGGACGACTGTGCGCTTTCAGCACTAGTATGTAGTATGTTGTGCTGGAAATATACTTGCGACAAGCAAAGAAGAGTCTGAGCAGCGAGCACTGTGCGGAAATTCCTATTGCACCGTGAGCGTTGTAGTAAATGGTTGTGGGGGGTGAGGTGGGTGGTATTGCACTTTTCTCTCGATGCCAGGTACTAGCGATAAACACCACTTAAGTGTACATTAAATGTTTCCTCTATACCTTTACTTCTCTGTGCTACTGTGAAGAAAATCTTAGGATATACCCACACACAGATAAACGAACGGTCTTTGTGGGGATCTCTTATTTTAGCCACTACGTGTTACCATTGTGGTTGTATTATTTATGGAAAATAAATTATTGTATCTTATCACTCATTCAAAATCACAAAATTCACTACAATCCTTTATAGAATTTCTATTGTCTCACCTCAACAATTTGCTTCAGATTTGTGGAGATAAGTTCGTCCTCTACTACTTTTACAATTTTCGGTTTTGTTATCTCGTCAAAACAACCATCAGCCCTTTCACTCTCTCTACAAATATATTGCATAGCATTCCTCAGATAATCAGCTGTGTTCCCTTGAACTATCATCCTTTGGCTTTCGCTCTATAAAAGAAACACACCAAAGTTATAGATTTACATTACATTAGTGGGACAAGGGTTCATATCATAAAGTGGAAATGTATGCAAGTAAGTCAGTAAAGTGTTGTTCAACCTTCAAGGAATTCATTAACTTTAAGACCCTACTTATAAGACCTTATGCAGGAGAAAAGAATTACATTAAGGGTATGAACTGCAACAACAATTAGATAAATAAAACACCCAAAAGTTGTCTATGAACACATAAACAAAACGAATGGATAATAAACGGTATCAGCAATCTGACACATACTTTCTTCCATTAGCTTGTAAACAACCCTTACAATGCGGTAAGCGTGGGTAGTAACTATATGATATTTTATGGGGGAGATAACAAAAGTTGCAATAACTTTTGAGTCATAAATCGGCGTTAGAGTTTATAAAACTGTATAAGCTAAGGAAATTTCATACCTTGAAGAAGGCTATGGATTGTTGGAGGAACGGAGTTTCAAAGTTCACTTGGTACACCTCAGGTGTTTTATTTCCAAGTACCATGAGCATGCGAGTTGTATCTCTGAATATCGGTCGATCTATTACATCTCCTTGCCTCTCTGTCATCACCAGATCCAATAGTTTAGATTGTAAGAAGGTCTGGATGCTACTGTATTGTACAACCTGTCAACAAGCATTGTAATTTAGTTTTTGAAGATGAAATCTCTTAAGTTTTGTATTTATGGTCTCATCACATAGTACTTCACATGTTAAACAATTGTAGAGTTACTACGGTACAGTACAGGACTCAGGATTCATGTTAATACTGGGAACATCTAATTTAAATTGCAGTAAGTAGTGTAAAGAATAACTTATTTTATTGCTGTGTTTTCAATAATTAAATATATAACATGTGTAATGTGGTGGTGGCAGTTGTAAATAAGCTGAGCAAATGCCACTGATCAGCAACTTAACATTACAAACCAAATGTACAAGCTTGATGTCTTACTCAACGCTGAATGAGCAAAGTGTTACACAATCTACACAAAGTGGTAGATTTTTATTGATTTACTAAAACTAGAACTTGTAGGTACAAGATTTTATGATCACACCTTTTAATATATCGTTCATATTATTCTTCCTTCATGTGCAACAGTTATAGCACAACTAGAACTAACTATCTTATTCTTATTGTTCAGAGATTTTTCTTAAAAATAGAGTAAATCTTTACAAAACGTATCACTAAATAAAGAACCATTCTCAATCCATTTAGAGATGTTTCACTTTAAATTGAGCCCTGCATAAACTAGATTCAAATAACTTTCCAAATGGTCTATATATAAAAAAATCTGTGAATCCGTGGCAAAAATTTCAAAATATGAAAGCAAAGCTAAGTTTTTAGCTATTTAGCTAAATGCTCCAAATATTTTTTTCTATTGACAATTATTTTTTGTAATAAAAATATCAGTTTGTTTGTCCAAACAGTATGACACTATACTAAGTTAATCATTTTTCTTAGTTTTTCATTTCACTCCAAAGAGTTCAATTAAGTTCACCTGGTCTTTGAAGAGATTGAGTCCAAGAGTGTAGATATCATCAACGCCGTGGTTCTTCACATAAACCCTGTCAAGGTACATGAGAATGTCTCGGATTGTCAACAGAGACATCTGGTGGATATCCCAAGAACTGGTCATCACTTGCAGGAAATTGTTATTTAAATTAGTTAGAACTCTTGACCGTACCTGGTGAAAGTATTGAGCACATTAGCAAATGAGAAAGATGAACTTTTAAAGTAAAAATATTTTGTAGGATGTAAATAAGTGACTTTATAATTTTTCATGTTGTAAGTACAACACACTGTATTGATTGTTGTTCCAGGATTAGTATTTATGATACATATTGCAGTTCAGAATATAAATTGCTAATTGCTTCAGTGTTAGTTGTGATCTGTTGCAGGACACCAAACAGATTTCCTCAGGTTAAAAACAAAAACTTAATATCTTCGAGTTCAAAATTCTCAAATCTCGTAAACCTGCTGATCGAATCTCAAAACCAAAGCCAAAGTTTTGATAGTTTTAAAATTTTAGTTTCTGTTTAAATAACATGACTAGTTTTAAGTTAACTTGTTTTTGAAACCTTTTTTCTTGTAGAAGATCTTAATCTACTCTCTAGCACTGCCTGAGAAGTGAGAATGCCACCCACGTGGTGATATCACTTTACCATATATAATATATTTAAATCATCTATCAAAATCTTCAACAAGAAAAAAAGCTTCAAAAACAAGGTAATTTAAAATGAATACGGTATTTTATGTGGTTGGGAGCAGGAACCATACGTTAAACAACAAAAAGCTACTTACTTTATGTGTGACATGATGAGAAATTTCATCACGCAGCCCGTTGTACAACATTCCTCCATATTTGTTCAGGACGAGGTAGTAGCCGTATCTGTATAGTAGTTCAAAGTCCAGATCTTGCAGTCGTTCTGTCTGTATTTGTTGAATAGCATTCCTCAGTAGCTGCCACATATGCTCTGCTGTATTCCTGTCCATCAGCTGAAAGTTCCTGAATTGTAGGCTATTGATTTCAAATTGATGAAGATATTAAATTAATATGTCAGGAACAAGGATATAAGACAATTTGAGTGTGACAGTTTTAGGATCTCGCCAAAGGGGACGCTGCCTGGGGCTGTTCCAAACAGGACCTCCTAAAAATTTGGTATTTACGGCTTTCTAAAGCCATTTTTTAAGTCTAGAACTGTGTCCAAAATACCCTGTTACGTTTCAGGACAAAATGTACGTTTAAATTTTTTTTTTCCAGGATTATATTGGGGGAGGGCATTAGCCCCTATAGCCTCCCAACCTTAAACCACTGCCGACCACCTTTTGACAACCACTGAGAGAAGATGGCAGAGGAATATCAGCATTCGGGAAACTACTGGAACTGCTAACTCAATGATGCTGAAAAGTAACTTTAATTACCGGTACCGGTACCTGCTTACAAACATGTTAGCACTACCGGTATTTGAATAAGATAAAGAGTTGGTTTTAAGAACAACAAAATGAAAAGCTGTTTCACAGCTAGTATTAATAAGCCTTTTGACTCTCTGAAAAAGCTCCCTTCGTATATTGGTTACTCCTTGTTTCCATAAGGCATACCAATCTGCCAACTTCTTACGCTGATTAATATTGGAGGTATTGATCAAGCTTGACTGTCTAACTGATTCCAATGAATACAGAAGCTAAACCACATTACCAATTTGTGGCACTACGTAATTTGATTTGCTAGTTCTAAAATACCTGTGCATGGTCCCCGATGCCCATGACGTAATTCGGTTCACTGACGTTTTTTACGTGATACAAGCCTAATTTTGACCCTTCATTGTTGACTTGCACATTGACCTCTTGAGACATTTTGAACAATTTAGAAAATGTGTGGAAAATTAATAAAAGAGAAACTTCTTCCTTTGGAATTACAAGCCAGATTTAAAAATATAACAAACATAATTTAGATGTATGAAGAATTTTATGTTTATGTGTAGTGTAAAATTGCTATAAATAATACCATATGGAATTTGGAATGACAATGTTTAATCTAATGTCCTAGAAAAAGATTAAAGGGAGAGACATCAATGTATACCTATAATCTTTTTGCCAAAATATTTCTACCATATGTATTTTACAGTCAGCCACTAATGAAAAAAATGAATATTGATATAATATAGGATATTATTATTGTAAAGTGAGAAAAACTACTATGAATTATGTGTATGTATGTTTTTGATTGAAAACAAAATATCCCTTGACATATCCATATTCAAGGTGGCAAACCATTGAACCAAATAGGTACCTATGTATATCTAGTGCGGCCTTGCGTACCTAGCAATTAATTCTTCAGTAGTAGGAGTTATACAGCACTCATTCACAATGTATTCCATATTTTGCAGAACACACTCGACCAATAATTATCCGTCCATCCCCATCTAAACTCACCAGTTATTACCCCAGTCCAAAAAAGAATTGAGCCAAATCCAAAAGAAAGCTATGGAAAAAACTCTATCCACCTTCTTATGTTGTTGGTTTATCTCGTAATTAGCCAACGGTAAACATAGAACTATCTTACAAAAATGTAATCATAAATACGGATTAGAGTGGTCAAATGCCCCATACGGGGTGCCTCAAGCAACCATCAATCTTGGCCCTAGTCTTTTAGCGAATTTCCCATATAGGGAATAAGCTATTACCGTAGTACTCATGGTAAGACCTGGACGCGGGACCGATTTTTTTTTTTCGTTTTGAGGTCCCTAGAGGCCAAAAACACCATCCGTTCAAATTCATATATATATATGTGTCCGTCAGCATGATAACTCAAGCAAAAATGATCCGATTTTGATGAAATTTGGTACAAACGTGTAAACGTACGTTTATTCGAACGAGTTCGCGATCCAGCATGATCGGACCATAGAAACAGGGTTTTATGGGGTAAAAATAGGTTTTTCCCATTTTTGACCCAAAAAACATAAAATTTAGCAATTTCTTTCCAAACCATTTTGTAGAGCTTAAAAAAACAAATAATTTAGTATATTGAAGCGTTATTATGCGCCTAATGGTTACGGAGAAAATTCCAAAAAATTGTAAATTTAATATTCCCATGTTATTCTTATGGAGAATAAGTAAACTGTTGTAGTTTGCTTGTTTGTGAACATATTTTGATCAAATTTGGAAAATGTTTTTATTTCTTACTAACTATTCACATTTTACAAAAAAAACAGTTTTACCCTCCCTGATACAGCAAACCTAAGTACTTGTTAAACTAATTCTATTTAAATCAAGAATAAATGTTATATTTTTAAGTAGACATTTCAGTGTAAATCCAATCAGTCAAATGGAAATTCGCTTAGTCTGCAGGTTTGCTGCGGCGGGGGTATTTGTTATATACTTCTGTACTTAATAATTGGGCTTTCAATAAATGGTCCTGACTAATGAAACAGGAAACAGCTGGTCTTTGTCAGGAACAAGCTACACAAGGCATCACACTCCACTCTACACTTATCCTCAAAGTCCTTAACTCATATTTGGGTTGAAATACGCACATAGGTGGCGTCCCCATCTTAAAATGATAATGGTAGTGATAATGGAATGATGTGGTGTGAAAAAGGCCGTTAGCCTAAAGCAATGGTTATAGTAAATAGTAGTGACTATGAATGTGTTAAAAACCCATTTAATAGAATTTTCAGCCTCCAAATTAAATAAACATGTAAACTATAAACTCTAACATCAATGACTCTGAAACCTCTCAAAATTCTTTTGATATTATTTTGGTGTGAAAATCAATAAAATCTAAATTGCAAACTACAACATTATCGATAATCCCAAGGAATAATACCACACCTGCTTTATAACAAGGCCGGCAACATCACACAGGCCAGTCTATTGCCATGGTAAACATAAACATTGCACAGAATCTATATGTTTAATACGCTAGGCATATTTTTGTCATTTTTGTTTTGGAGTGGTGGTGCTACAGATCACCATGTCCAAGGTGTCGTTAGAAAGGTCTTAGCATGTAGTTTTGCCATCAAACAAAAAAAACTTTGGAATTCCATCAGGGCTCTGCCCCAGTGGCCTTCAAAGTCCCCATGTTATTCTTATAGAGAAAATGTTTGTTTACATTTTAACAGATGAATACTTTGAAATTGATACTAATATTTGAAACAGCTGGTTACTAAAATTGGAGACGTGTGCTATTCATAAGATTAGTTTGAAAGATTGATTGCACAAAATCAAAACATAACCAAAAAAACCTTCGACATAATGGAGACTATGAGGCTTCGACTAGGACGGCCAATAGGAGGCCGACAAACTTTAACTGGTAGACACGAACGAAATACAATTAATACTATTGTCGTTGATAGCCACATCAAGCACCCTTCCGTGTTGGGTTTTGGGACTGTTGGATAATCGCTGCATAAGCTGTTGATTTTGGAAGACAAGGAGGCGGGTAGGACTACATCGGAAACAGAAGAGAGGAGATATTAGATGAGTGGCAAATGCGTTGGGAGCAGAGTGTTTTATGTTAACGTTTTAAAGGTAAACCAGGGTTGGTACTGATTTTGGAAAATGAAATTCCCTGACTTTTCCAGGTTTTCCAGACTGATATTATACTTTTTCCAGGAAAAAGTATAATATCAGTCTAATATCAGTCAAGTATAATATCAGTCAAAATATCGAATAGTCAGAATCGAGAATTATTAGAAAAAATGTAGGCCTAAATAGTTTACTCATAAAACCAATAAGAAAAGAATTAAACATCTGGAATCTGGAAAATTAAGAGTACCAACTAACTTAACCTCACACTTTATGTTCTACTTGGCCTTGACTTGACACTAGCAGATAGACGATACGGTGCTTCTGATACTGATATATATATCGATATTTTGCTTGCGATATCATCGGCTTATATCGGAAGAAACATGTGATATAGGAAAAATAACTACCATGCTTGTACCGGAGACAAAAAGTAATACCAAACTAAACTATTAAATGTTTCAACTAACAGGATAACATTTTTTTATAAACTCCTACAAGTGCAGTTTTTTTTAGTTTATTAAAGGTTGAATCAGTATTGAAAGGGTAAAGGTGTTGAACTTTTCAAAGACTATACTCCGGGAAATAAAAGTATTATTAATAAAGAAGGCTTGTCAGAATCTGAGTGGAAAGACAGTATAAAAATGATTGCAAATGTGGTGCCAGTGCGTGTTCTCCACAGCAGAAGTCAGGGCAATAACCGCTGCAGGCATGCCTGTGGTGAGATTGAAACCATTGCACATGCCCTTGGCTTCTGTCCGTTTGGTGAACTTCTAAGAATCACTAGGCATCACAAAATAAGAAGTATCATAGCAAATGCCTTCCGAAAAAGGTATAACACATGGGAAGTGCAAGAAGAAGTACACTGTCTTTCTTCTAAAGGAAGCACCAGAAGAGTAAATATTTTATTGATAGAAAGAGAAACTAACAAAGGCATAATTCTCGATTCAACAATTCGATTTGAAATAAACATAAATCAACCTAACGAAGTAAATGAAGAAAAGAAAAAAAAATATGATCCTACCTTTGAATATTTCAAGCAAAATTTTAAAATTTGGAAAGTTGAGGTGATTGGATTGTTTATTGGTTCAAGAGGAACATTATCAAAATTTTTTGTGAACTTTTGGAAACAATATGATTTGGACAGATCCTTTTTGAAAATTATTACTCATGAAACATTAAGAGGTTCATTGAGCATAATGAGAAATCATCTATATGGCAAACATCAAAATTAATCAGTCTTATACAATTTTATCTTGTATAATTTTTTCTGTGTCATTGGCAACCTTATTTTTTAAGGCAGATGTATTTATTTTTATAAATAAATTCTTTTCTCTTTTTATAAATTCAATGAGGAATTGTATTCAGTATCGTATTGAAATTGAAACGATGAATGTTGGCCTATCCTTCCGCGCATCCCGGTACTAGCAGTGTTTCCATACGTGGGATTATTAACTTATCCCGAAAACTTTTCAGAGCCAGCTTAGCCTTAGGACACATTCCCTTAGGGTGGTGTAATTCACGTATCGCATTTATTCCTAAACCAGGAAGGGATAGTTACACTGATCCTAAGTCATTTAGACCCATTTCTCTATCTTCTTTCTTCCTTAAGATCCTAGAAAAGTTGGTCTCAAGATATATGATGGATACAGCTCTTAGGACACATCCTTTTCATAATAATCAGCATGCGTATGTCTCAGGAAGATCATGCGAGACTGTGTTGCACCAACTTGTAAGCAAGATTGAGAAAGCTCTAGAGAGCAGTGAAGTGGCCCTGGGTGCCTTTCTCGATATTCAAGGTGCTTTTGATAATACTGGTACTCCAGCAATTCTTAATGCGGTGAGAGGAAGAGGTTTTCACGGTATAATATGTAGATGGATTGAATCCTTGCTTCACAGTAGGAAGGTTAGGCTCTCACTCCATAATGACACGATCGAGGCAAGAACTACTCGAGGATGCCCTCAGGGGGGGGGGGGGGGTTCTCTCTCCTCTCCTTTGGAATTTGGTAGCAGACGACCTTATAAGGACACTCAACAAAAGTGGGGTTTTCGCCTTAGGTTATGCTGATGATGTTGCAATCCTTGTGGTTGGAAAGTTCCACGGAACCATAACTGACCTTATGAATAGAGCTTTAAGGGTAGTGGATCGTTGGTACCAGGAAGATGGGCTCTCTATAAATCCCAGGAAAGTTGTAATAGTACCCTTCACAAGAAGGAGGAAACTGGATGGGATCGGCCCACTAAGACTGCAGGGCACTGTAATAGAGCTGCAGAATCAGGTGAAGTATCTTTGTGTAATTTTGGACAGATCACTTCACTGGGGACCACATCTTCAAAAAGTCACTGAGCGTGGCAAATGGTCCCTTATGGCATGCAGGCGGATGATAAGTGGCACATGGGGGTTACAGCCTAAACTTTTATGCACTGGCTGTATGTATCTGTTGTTCGACCCGCCCTTACATATGGTTCGCTTGTGTGGTGGCCAAAGATGGAATCTACTATAGCTGTCAAAGCTTTAGCAGGAGTTCAGAGGCTTGCTCTTATAATGATAACTGGGGCAGTAAGCAGCTGTCCTGGAGCGGCTCTTGACTGTCTGCTTGATATGCTACCTATCGACATTTACATCAAGGTGGTAGCAAGTAAAACAGCCCAACGCCTTAGATGCGAATACTTATGGATAACCTCAGGAAACAATAAAGGGCACTCCAAAATTGTTCAGGTGGTACATAATGATGAATTGCACTTGCCTTCAGATCACATGTCCAAAAAATACTCCTTTGGAAAGCCTTTCAAAGTACTAATACCAGATAGGAAAGATTGGTCTGGCGGAAAAGGACCCATACCCACAGGTGATTTAGAATGCTATACTGATGGTTCTAAGATCAAAAATGGGGGCACTGGAGCAGGTGTGCATTGGATGAATGGAGGCACTGGCATTTGTCTTCCAATGGGGGTGTACCCAACTGTCTTTCAAGCGGAGGTCACTGCCATTCTAGTTTGTGCTCAAGAACATCTTAACAAAGATATCAGAGACAAAACAATCAATATCTATACTGATAGTCAAGCGACCTTAAAAGCATTAAACTCTTACGAATTCAACTCCAGGCTCGTGTGGGATTGTCTTGCTTCTGTGTCTGAGTTGGGTAGGAGAAATGACCTTACGCTTTGCTGGGTGCCAGGACACTCAGGCATTAAAGGAAATGAAGCTGCAGACAGATTGGCAAATACTGCCTCTGCGACTTCAATGATAGGCCCACAACCCTTCTGTGGCATCTCACGAAACAGTGCATGTTCTGCGATTGCGTCATGGGCCAAGGAAAAGCATCGCAAACGCTGGGTCGATGTTCCCCTTCCTAGGGTCAGCCAGCTTACTCTGTTTAGGCCTTCTAAAAAGGTTGCCTGTGACCTCTTGAGACTAGACAGACGAAGAATTAAATTAATTGTTGAACTGATAACTGGTCATGGAAGATTCAGGAAACATCTACAACGGATGGGCTTATATGATGGTGAACCGATCTGTAGGTACTGTGATAGGTCAGAAGAGACAGCTGATCACTTACTCTTTGATTGTAACGAGCTCTTTGACGCTAGATCGATAACTCTTGGAAATATGGCTAGAGGTAGATACCTTCCTGAGGATGAACTTATTGGGAAGCTACAGGCATTCATTGGGCGCCTTAACTTGTAGGTCAACAAGAAAGCAATTATTGCGCACCCCAAATAATTCGATTTCGGATGAAGTGCTTAAAGGTCTCTTAAAGACCTGCCCCTGTCAGATAAGATAAGATAAGATCCCGAAAACAGGATTTTTAGAGCATGAGCGGGATTTGAAGGGGATGTGGGATAAAACAGGAGTTTTGGCTATGACGTCCGTTTTTATTTACTATGCTTTTATTTTAGTGAAAAACTAACCCCAATCGAAAAAATTACCTTAACAAAATATAATAGCAATGTTAAAACAACTATTTAAACGAAATATGTCCAAGTCTGTCGATGTTCGATGTTTTTTATATCGATGGTAGGTTCCAGATGTTTTTGTTACATCGATGTTTTCGTCAAACTTCGATGTTTTTGACCAAGTATTGAGACGTAGATGCAAAATGTAGCATATCTGTAAAAAATGTAGTCTTTCAAGAGAAATTCCAGATTTTTTCCAAAATTCCCTGACTTTTCCAGACCAACAAAATTCCCTGACATTTCCAGGTTTTCCCTGACCGTACTAACCCTGTAAACTTTCAGATATATACCTAACATCAGAAAGAGACTAGAACAAGATTGGGAGATGGGCCATTATGAAATGCAGTTTGTCACAGCACATGGAAAATTTCAAGGCGAATTTCACTTGGTGGGAAGAGGAAGTATGTAGATGTGGAGAAATAAAAACCACGAGTCACGTATTTATGTATTGTTTACTTCAGGAGACAAATAGGTTTAAAAAAACGCCTGTAATACTTAGCAATTGCTTGAATTCGAGCAACAGGTACACTAGTCTCCATTATAAAGTTGCAACCAACGGTTTTGGTTTGCCAGGACAGCTGTGTTGCCACTTTTTTGTCTCACCGCAGCTTTGTATTACAGGAGGCTAATGATAGTGGTTGTGGTATGCCATAGTATATGAGAAAGTATTGTTTTTGACAATTTTTTTTGTTTGAGTACCAGTTAGTTAGTTGGTTGTGATACAGTTTATCAGTTTTGGGCCCCCCTGGACCCAAAAAGTGGTTTTTGAAGTGATGTCTGTGTGTGTCTGTCTGTATGTGTGGACGTGTACAGAGCTACAAACAACACCTGTGGTCCGATTTTGATGAAATGTGGTATGTACATTCCAAATTCTCGCCAAGGCTCGTACCTTAAATTTTCTACTCGTGTCGTTAACACTATTTACGCGAGTTGCGTACAATACTTTACCTACGACGGTGTTTTAATTACTAAAAATCACTACTCATAACTTCTAAGGGAGGTTAAGTTTTTGTTTATAACCTCTAATTGCCACTGACAGTGATGCAAACGAACCAAACATTGTATCAAATACTAATTGCACCAATCAACAATTAAATTGACCTGAACAGCTGATTAGTTGAATTTCGAATCATTACAATTTTGCTTCTCCTCTCTCAATCCTTGAACCTGATTGGTCCGTTACCCGTGTTGTTTTGAGTAAAACTATGCTGTTATGAAAGTAAACAATGCTGTTATGAGATACTTTTCAATTCTAAGAACAGTACTGAAACAGCTACTTTAAAAAACGGTCGTAGGTAAAATACTTGTCATGTAAAGATAACCTCTCAAAACGACTTTCAACTTGTTTTCAATTTTGCTAATGGAGCAATCATCTATTTAGTAAGTGTTTTGTCTATTATGATTGTTTTAGTCAGGCACTATTCTATCGATATGTCGAACTATTTACAAGAATGTAACATGCTACAACCAATTACATCAATCAATCAATACATGCTGAGTTTACAACAGCTGACTTTTACTCCCTAGAGACTAAAAAGGCTTTTTACTCCCTATTGAGTAAAAGAGCTACATTAGACCGGCAACACATGTATAACAAATAAAAACGGCTGTTTTCGCTGCAGTATGACGAAAAGGTCTTTATGGATCATATGTTAAAATAATCAACAATATATATATTGACTCGTATAATTAAAATAAAACACAATTAATAGATTTGACAAATAGTCTATTACTAATTTGTACAAGCAATCGTCTTAACGAACTAAGATGGATAAGTCACATGTACAAGGCACGAATTTAATCTACTTAAAATTCTGCTTGGTATACATGGTAAAAAGTTTACAGAGAATAGAAATAAACAATTACTATACAGAATATCTTCAATAGACAATTCTTCACTATATTCATAGTTAGACAAAGTTATTTTAGAGTTTAGGAATTTACCTGAAATTCAAATTCTACCAGGTAATAAGCTTATGCTCATCATTTATAGTCAATAATTGCTGCATGTTAAGTAGTAAAGAAACACTCAACATTTCACGTGTTACAAAATAAACCTTGAACCTGCACATATTACAAAAATTCAAAATTTAAATGTTTAATTTTTATCAAATTAAAGCAAAAGGTCAAACAATTTTCACTTGAAGCTAGAGTTATCTTCTAACCTCTTTTCTCTTTTGGTTTCCACAATTTGATGCGGCTATCTAAGAGAAAAATAACATGGCCCAAAAGTTTTAAGTAGATTACCTAAATGGTAGAGAAAAATCTTTCATAACAAAATAAAATTCTATAAAGTAGTAATAGGAATAGACAGTGATTATTTTGACGTCAATATCTATTGAAATAAAATAAAATTCAATAAAACATTGGACTATATTGATGCCCAAATTTAATAACAGTTATTAAAGTATACTTCTGTGAAAAATACATAGACTACTAGAACACTTTAACAATCAATATATGGACGGTGAGAGGGTAGATGGAAGATATGTTGAACTTAAAATATTAAATTCAACTGAAATGATTTGGAAGAGCTGAGACAAAAATTGCACTAAACATATTACATTTCAAGATGTATGACTACAAATAGATTAAAAATAAAATTTTTGGTAACATAATTTATGATAAAATTTGAGTTACTTAATATTAAGATATATTTTAAACACACATTTCACATTACACACTCAATATAATTTTTACTTAACCTATCGGACGGCTTGGGACTTCTTTTTTAAAGGCTTTGACTTAATTTTCATCTTTGATGGATTCTACAGAAAAATATCAAGTGAAGACACAAGGTCACATTGTGACTTGAAAGATTCAAATTTATCATAAGAAAATCATGTGAAATTGATGGAAATTCAGCTTTATGCAAAAGTTATACCAAACTCTACTTATAAATTCTTTATTTGATTTTCACCCCTATCAAGCATTTTGAGTATCAAAAGTCTACTCAAAGAATTACAGGAGACAATATAAACTGACATTTAAGGCACTGGTGTATGGTCAATATGATATATAAACTGATATGATAATTTAAAAGAGAAGGGTGTTGCAAACCCTAAACTTTCCTTACGCACATTTACTATTAACTCTGTTTAAATCACAGGGGGCAAGAAAAATTGACATTTGTAAGTTTTGTTACCCAATAACACAATTACAGTAATTGCATTTATTGGCAATGAGTGTAGCTTGAACTAGTAATCCGGTACAAACATTTGGTACTAAAATCTACACATCAACCTCAAACATTCAGAAACGGACTAACATTTAATAAATAGAAACTAAATGTAAAAAAAAGAAAAAAAAATAACAAACGAACCAAAATTTATATTTTAATCTAAAACAATTCAAAGCAACAATTACACTAAAAAATTAAAAATACCTTCACTTAACAATTAAAGAACATAAATAATCTTTAACTAATATTTGTGTTTCTAAATACTGAAGAGGATGTACGGCTAAAAAATAACATAAAATCTAAGTTGCTCCAGTAATACTTTTGCTACAAAAAATAGTTAAAATATACAAGAAAACAACAAATTATAACTAAAATGTGGAATAGATGAAACATACTCTACAAAAAACAGTAATGATATGATTAAAACTTCTAAAAAAATGTTACAAGACAATGTGCTGAGAAGCAGAAAGAGAAAAAATGTTTATGTACAAATAAATATTACATTGATTTCCACTGGATGAAAATCAGTCTCATGCATGAGAAAATCCACATGAAAATAGTTCTTGATGTTAACTACAACTAATAAAACTAATAACTTCCACGACCAAATAGACAAAGATAAAATATATTTTCACTTTTACAAATGATTTTTTTTAAAGATACACAATTGTTAGGTTTTGATATTGTTGGTTTATTTGTTATAACCTCATTGAAATTTAACATAATAGTACATGACTACAAATATACTTTTGTATGGAAACCGTTCCATGAAGAGGTGTACATTTGTTGAAAGATAGGCCAGTCAAAAGGTACTTTGGCACCAAACATAGGTTTATACAAAGAATAACGCTACCATTTTGACTGATTATGAGATTATGAAGTTTATCTTAAATAAACAAGAGAATAAAATAATTACAATCAAAATCTATACAAAGTAATATTTTTCTACTACTATTATTTAAAATCGTCACATAGCCTGCGTCATCTCATAGTTCCTAATCAATTTCAGCAATAAATTCAAAATTAAATACAATATAATAAAATCAAACACCCTAGACCAACTTGACTGACCAGTCTGCCTAAGTAGTACCACTCCTCTCAATGTTCCCTAAATACATTTTTTTCTCTATATAAAATTAAGGCCTTTTCAATAAATATTTAAAAAACTCATATGAAATAGTTGTTTCAGAACAATGAATCCAGCTCCTGTTGAAGCATAAGGAGGCACATTTGGAGATCTGGTGAAGCAGGTCTAATCAATCATCAATTCAAAATGGACGACACCAATCTTGTCTCGACGGTCGTAGCCGATGTTCTTGGCCCAAGCGCGACACTCAATGTTTATAAGGATTCCGTCTGCAAGAAAACGATGGATAAAGGATTAAAAACAAATTCTTTACCTTACATGCGGACACTCAAATCTGAGAAGGATTTTAGCCTTACCTTATTTTAGACTCTACAATGCATACTCGTCGAGATAGCAAAAACACATGTTGAGTCTTATTCACAATCAGTTCCCAAAATGAACAAGCCGTGTAGACATTGATGCAACAATACAAATCAGCTGATCAGCAATGGGGTAAAGAATACAGGGGTACAAAATTATGAGCTAGCTTTGCTCTTAAACAGTGTGTCTCTTGGTACTTGAAATTTGGGTTGCATAAAAAATAAAACACTGGGCAATACTGCAGAATTGTTATGTAAATTTATCTTCTGACAGAAGCATTCAAAAGGTATTAGAGCCCAATAGATGAGAATTAGTTAAATGAGGTGTAGAGCTGATTCTAATATACCAAGTAGCATATCTATATTATGAAACTATGATTTAGCCTGGACTGAAATCTGAATAAAATAATTTAACAGAAAATATCTTAATGTGCCTAACACTGTACTTGTTGACTATACTTACTCCTCGGATGCTTGAATTTGACAGCTACCAACGGACTGAGGTAGCCTTCTGAGTTCTCGTAAGGGAAGAAGTAGCCGGGGAAGCCTGGCTTAGGGTAGTACTCGACAGGCCCAATATTCTCAACATCAGCAGGGCTCTCCCCCTCGCAAGACACCCAGACGGTGTTTAGCTGAACACATTACAGATAAAATTGAATCACTATACTGAAACTCCCATCTACTGTGATGCATTGTTTAAGGTGAAGATGAATCATGTAAAAGAGTTGATACTATACCCCATCCCATGTTCAAGTGCAGTATGGAGAGTCAGTAAGCCATATATTTCAAATTACAGTTTCAGCAATATTTACTATATTATATCATACGCTATTATAACATATTGTAGAACCCGAAAAAGGCACCTGTGCTTTGTAAGGTCCCAAGTGGACCAAGGTTTAAATTGGGGGGGGGGGACACGGTTACCCCCTAGTTTGGGAACCGCTGATCTACCTTATGATGCACGGTTCGAGTAAGAGTTGAGGTTTTGAGGATTGTAGGACATTTAGGCAAATGAAGAGTGGAAGATCACTAAAATCATCTGTCTGACTGACTATACAGGTTTTTGACCCTCTGGCCTCAAAAAATATGCCTTGCCATCTTTTAGAGTAATAATTAAAGAATTGTACACTGATGATTAGTTGTTATTTAGACTTTTGTTGTTTCTGTTTCTATTTCTTTATCTGTTAGCTAAGTTATTGTTACTTATTATATGATGAGAGTTATCCTGAAAAGCAGTTATACTGAGAAACACTTGATCAATAAAGGCATTTTTATTTATTTATTTATTGACACGCTACACTTTAACACTCACCGCATTTTCTCCTTCGTCATTCGCAGTTTTGTTGATCGCATCTTTCAGAGACTGCGGCATTTGTTCTGGCAATTCGCTTGTCTTGTTGTAGTACTCTGGTCTCCAGTTGTATATCTGTAAAGAAACCGGACTTCAATAATGTAAAATATGAAAGGTTTTTAACAATTTGTTGTAATATCAGTCTCCATACTAGATTTGCCTTTGTTTTTGTTGCATGAGCTCTTTAATGTATGATGTTTGTTTCACCCAAACATCTAACCTACATAAACTCAGACCGCTCAAAGGTAAATCTAATGACTTAACTAGAAGCACGCAAAGATTCAAAATTTAGATTTGATTTGGATTCATTCGTACTTTAATATTTACTTACAAAAATGGTAATTACAGTAGATTCAACAATCTATTGCAAATATCACTTATTTCACTTCAAACAAATCATTCAACTCACTACAATGCATATCTTTCCCATCAGATTTCACATCTAAAAATAGTTTTCAAAATAAAACAGCTGAGTTTTATTAACATTCATTACAGTAAAACCATTACTAAAACTACCTGATTGATGACCACACCTCAAGTCAAGGTTACCTTGTTGAGCTTGATGAAGATGCAGGGTTGCTGCAGATGGTAGCCGTAGTTTTCCTCGTAAGTACAAGGGTTCCACAATCGTACATCAATGTCACACACCTTGCCTGGGGGTGGGGGTTGGTCGTAAGAACACTTGAAGATGTTCTGACCCCGGCCCGGAGTCTTACCAGGCGTTCTGTAAACTGTAGACAAACATTTACGTTAGAAAACATAGCATGATTGTCTTACATGTATTCCTTTTGAGGAAGCAAATTTTAGTCCAGCAACTTAATCAGGATCGTGTAACTAAATGCTGGATAACGAATACTACCTTTTTTTAGGTATTCTCTTTGTAAATAATGTTTCAGAAAGAACTACTATAGATAAAACATACTCACTTAGTAGATTTGTTATCCTTATGGATCAGCTGAAGACAATTTTATTGTGTTCCGTCCGGTGCATGTAGGGGTCGTGTTTTGTTTATAATTTGTTTCTTGTTATTTTAGTAATATTTAAAACCTCATTTAACAAACTAAATCAATCTAACCATAAACAATAACTCGTCCCCTAGTTATATAACAAAACTGTAAAGCACAAATAATTTTATTAACCCTAAAAATATAGAAATAACATTTCTTCGGCACTAGCGAACAGTGTTGCCAGCATGAACTAGACACAAAAAAGAAACTTCAAAATTTACAATGGGATGAGAAGTCTACTTGTGTTGTGGTTAGTCTATAGAACTACTAACAAACTTTGCGTGATGTAATCTGAAAAAAAAAAAAAAAAACGCAAAACAATTTGTGGCTTTTACACCACATTAATGCATTCGCTTAGTATATACTTCATTGCGGTAACTATGCCGCAGCCCCTTTATTACCCAGACATTTTTTGCGCACAATTTTTACTTTGGCGCACACCAGTATTCCAACCAAACAACACAAAACAGCTTTTATTATGCATGTTATCCGTGAACGCTTGAAAATAAGTTGCCAACACTTAAACGTGTTGTACAGTGTTTGAAAGACTGATTATTTATATGATTTATAGTAACCGTGGGAAATTATAATGTGTAACACTAGCGCAAACTACCTTTGCTGCACCCTAGAAACTTTCCAAACATTTTAACATTTCTCTCGTGTGCAGCAAAGTGCCACTTCGCACACTAGTTACACAAGAGTACATTTTTTTTTTGTATAATTGAATTACAATTTTGCATTTATGCATTCAATTGCGACAAATCCTCTTGAACTAATTTGGCAAAATGTACAAGTCAGATTAACTTAGGTCAGTCTTAAGTTTTGTTTTGTGGGCGAAAGCTAAATAAACGTTTGATTATTTACATTGACTGTTCTTTAAACCTATAACTCTTTAATACTATTGCATTGCAGTGTACAAATTCTATTTTAAAGTTTCTCTCGGCAATCCAAAATATTTGATAATCTGACAAGGGCCTGGTCCAATATCTGTCGGATTATTTAAACTCTATTGTACAACACTCACCATCCAGAAACTCCTGCAGAGTCTCGACCCAGTAAGCGTAGTTCTCCCTTGCAGTTCCTCTATACCAGATCAGAGTACTGAGAGCGTTGGAGTCGTTGGGCATCGGCCGGAAACCCATACCTGTCAACAGTACGTGGATTAGCTCACCTTGTGCAAGTCACACCAATAGGCACTTTCATCGTCAGAGAACCAGTACCTTCTTGTACTTTTCCGAGAACACTGGTTGGTAAAACTGTCTTCAACGGTAGGAAGGAGCCCAGTGAAATATTGCTGAAGAGGCTATAGCCTTTTTAAGATTTTCAACCTTTTTAAAAACTAATTCGTCAAATCTTGCTTCTTGTAAATCAAATATTGACTAAAACACACTAACCTTATAACTAGACTAATAATTTTTAACTTAATTAAGAATTTTCTCTCTATACACATTCTAAACTCTGATCTCAGACATGCAATTCAGTTTAATACCATAGGAGATTGGCAAGATTCTCAGCTGTAATGACCTACAATCTGCTGCCGGAGAGTGAGCCGGGCTACAATTAGCAATAATGGCGCCCCAGGAAAACACATGATATCTGACTTGATGAGAAAAAACTTTCAAAACGTAACGAGCATCCTTGGTTGGCAAAGAGGTAAGTTTTAAGATTGCTCTAATTTGCTGTAAACAAGGTGTCCAAATATATAATGAACAGCCAAACTAGCTTACAAGAATCGTTGCAAAGACAAAAAAGCTTGTAACCCATGAAAAGCACAATTAAGACGTGTTTGTGTCGTGTGTTTTAATTGTGTTTTCACGAGTTGCAATCTAAATCTTTGAACTATTTGATGGGGCGACTTAAAACCTATTGTCGTCTGAATTTAAAGGTTGATAATCAAATCAAATACAAGTCAAATGTACAAAAATGTCTTACACTAATGCAAAAACTTGAAGAAAACAATTAAAGCGATCCTGTGACTGAAAGGCTAACTCCAGGATAAATAGAATCAAAAACCGTTACACGGTACTGAATTTAGGTATTTGTACCCAGTCAGTATCTTTGAACTAAATAGGGTAAGTTGTTATAAAAATTAGTTACAAAAATTGCTGTGCATACCTGGGTTGGTGCCGATGAGGGAGTCTTCCAGCTTATACTTAGGTATCCTCGGATCTAACGTGAGGTGGAACAGCCATAAGAACGAGAACCAGAACACGGCCAAGCAGAAATAGAAGATGAGGTAGAATATGAGGATCTTACCTGCAACGAAAACTCTACATTACTCTTCATACAAGGTAGAAAGTTAAATGTTAAATATCGTTAAGCAAACAAAAACTGAAACAATTACACACTACAATTTGTTACAAATTAATATCTTCTGGAATTTTTTAACACACTGAAAAAACTCCTAAAGTTGTGTACACGTCAATGGGTGTTACAGCAATCTGACACATAATACTTTCTTCCATAAGCTTGTCAACAACCTTTATCATGGGTAAGCGGTGGGAGTAACTGTGACAATTTTGTAGGAAAAATCACAAAAGTTGCGATAACTTAGACATTAATTTTAATAAAAACCGAGGGTTTTTTCAAAAACCAGATTTTTTGTAATTTTATGGGATTTTTTATGGGAAAATAACTTAAGTTACAATAACTGTTGAACCATAATTTTTACGGAAATGGATTTTGTACCATTTTGTTCAGAATCTAAATGACTATATTATACTGAATTTTTATCAAAATTGATTTACCTGTTATCTTATGGGAAAATCCCAGTTAATTATCAAAATTTCTAAAAAATGAAAAAAACACCTGGAGATACCATGGATTAGTACCTCTACATATCAAATTTCATCAAAATCGGACAACAGGTGTGGTCTGTAGCTCTGTACACATCCACACACACAGACATCACTTTGAAAATAATTTTTTGGGTTCAGGGGTACCCAAAATGGACATATCCACTCAAAACTCAAACTCGAAAATTTTGACAAAAACTACTTTTTCCACATACTATGTATAGGAAGAAAAAGTAAAAAAACCTAATTGAAACAAATTTTATGTCCAATTTGACACACCTTTTACTTTCTCCTCCCATTAATAGTGACATCCACACACACAGACATCACTTTGAAAATAATTTTTTGGGTTCAGGGGTACCCAAAATGGACATATCCACTCAAAACTCAAACTCGAAAATTTTGACAAAAACTACTTTTTCCACATACTATGTATAGGAAGAAAAAGTAAAAAAACCTAATTGAAACAAATTTTATGTCCAATTTGACACACCTTTTACTTTCTCCTCCCATTAATAGTGGACTACTGTATATGGAAAAAGTATTGCTTTGGTAACATTTTTAAATTTGAGTTTTTGGGTGAATATATCCATTTTGGGTGTCTGTAAACCCAAAAAGTGAGTTTTGAAATCAGCCCTGTGTGTGGATGTGAATCGGACTACACAGACCAAACCAGTGGTCTGATTTGATGAAATTTGGTTTTGATTCGGTATATGTTTTTTAAATGTTGCTTTAAAAATGGTGATTTAGAACCCATAAAATTATGGACAAATATATTTTCAAAAAAATTGCTATAACAATTTGTTATTGAAATTTTGCTTGCTTATGGGCAGCGGCATCATCCCATCCGCAATTTTAGTAAGACATTGGTAATGGTAATTGGCAAGATTTGCATCTGTGACCTAGGAGACTGACACATTTTAAGTTTTAAACAGTTTCATTCTAATATATCCAATACACAAAAGCTTAGGCATTAGTTTCTAACCACAAATGGATTTACAAAAAAGAAAAAAAAACACTATAAATTTAATAACGAACAAGGGAGTAAGTACTCTACATTTTATCTTTTTAGTAAATAATATTTTTTAAGTATCCTAAATAAAGTATCCTGAGAAAGATGGCGCAGAGCTGTTGGAGAAGCCAAAAACCTGCTTAGGTTTGAGTGGTAAGCTAGGTAAGGTAAGTATCCTAAATTCTGCACGTGTTCCTGTTGCTCGAATTCGAGCAATTTCTAAGTATTAGCATTGAGTATAAACCTATTAGAGTCGTTATTTTAAAAGGAATAACGTTCATGATTTCTGATCACTTAAAAGATTCGACCCAAAGATTATGGAAATATTCAAGATGTACATAACAGAATATATCAATTTATCCAGGCTCTCTCGCTTTTCCATTGTAACATTTACGCCAACTCGAATTCAAATAGTAAATATTTAATTTCAACCATGTCAGTAAATGTTTGTAGCAAACTGTAAAATTAGCAAACTTATCGACTGTTTAAAATTAACATATTATGTTCTTCTTCTCACTTTTAATTTCTGACAACAGCTGGAGTTACATAACAATATTTGTTTCCCATGTTAATCTTATGGAGAAATACGAAACTTTAAAGGGACCCAGGTCCTCACTCTCTGATTATTTTCCTAAAAAGAAAGTTTCCTGCACAACTTCACGTTACGCTCTTTCCAATGACATCAAAAACATGCCAATCGGTTCAGTAGTTTAGGAGGAGTATTTGTCACAAAAAACATGCTTGCGTATTAAATAAGTACGAGAGGTCGTCCAGTGGTCGAAACTCGACCAAAAATATGTAATGTAAACTTACTCACTTCTCTATTTTCACCCCACACTGCAAATAAAACATGTGATTGGAGTTTCTTCCATTTGTTTTGATTTTCTGTTTATATTTCGTTGTTATTTCGTCACCAGCATGGCAACGCATAAGATCCATGTTATTTTTTTCAAATTTTTAAACTCATTTTTTGTGCTTATCTTTGAGCCTATTTAAATTTATAAAGGGATTCTGCACACCTACAGGAAAATAGCTTTCTAACGGTATGCGTAGATTTACCCCACGATGCACACGAGCTGAGAAAAAAGGTTTTAAAGAAACATGCTTGCCTATTAATATATAGATAGATAGATTCATTTGTATACCGTTTAATACGGTTCACTTCTTCAAAACACATTCCAATCGGTTTTCCAATTATATTTGTAGGCTACGTTCGCGGTTTCCTGCTCATAATCGTCCCCAGATTAGATTAGACGGAGTGGTTTTCACACTGTGTGATTGGTAACACTGTGATAACCGTGTGTGCGTGTGCGTGTCTTCGTCGCCAACAATAAGGTCAAACAATACAATACACGGCCCCGCCCGTGCGTAGGCGTGCGTCATCGCTCATCTCACAATAGATGTAGTGTTGTAGCACTACTGTACCTAAACAGCTGCCAAACCGTGCAGGAGATTCCTGGGACTGCGTGAAGTAGGCATTTGTATTACAACCCTCATTTGCTACAACCGGGCCTATCGTCCTACTTCTGTGAAAACATGTACTCACAATGTGTCAATGACTTTTTTTGTGACAGATACACAAAATGTCATTCACACGTAAACTATTGTACACTAAATCATAAGGTCACCGGTTTGATCCTAAAGTATGTAGCATTTGATGGTTTGAAACTAGCTGTACTTGATCAATGGGCTTTTTATGGTCCTGACTAATGAAACAGCTGATCTTGAATAGTAATAACAAAGTCGATTTTCATATACCCTTGCAACTATACACAAGTTTACTTCCAGTACCCAAAGTCAGTGAACCTATTTAACGAAAAAATGCAAATTCAAAATACATTGAGGTGGTTACGATTACGTCAAGAGTTGGAAGATTTACCTAAGTCACATGACGTTTCATACAAACATTAAGACAATATGGTACCTTACTGATTAATTACCCAGGCTAAATGAACACGCTAATACATAACCTAGTTAATAATCCAATTCTGAGCCGCCTAGTGACAATTTGGCACAGACGAAGACATTGTCGAAAGGCCAACAGTTAAATATAAACACGGATTACAACAGCGTAGCATCCCACGTCTGTCTATGCACGAAGTCGCAATCTGCTATCGTGGAATTTGAGTTTTGTTCAATATAATTTGAAATAACCACGTAATGGCGGTTTATAGACTAAATCTATAGAAAATGTTAACAAGTAATCCTATTGTTAATGAAAAGTGTGGTTTGTCTAGCAGTTTTCGTGTTAAATTCCTAAAGAAAATATTCAAACCAAAATTGTAGGGAACTATGTAATTTATTGGTTCCGATTGATACTACTAGCATTGACTATTGGATACAGAAGTTGTTGTATTTAATAGTCAAAGCTACTAGTTAGCCTCATCCAACGATGTTTGTTTATATCGTTGGCCTCATCTGATGGAGTTTTACTGTACTAGAAGTTGTCTACTTAAATTATTTTGTAAGAACTCTATAGAAACTATTCTTTACTTAACAACTAACACATCCAAGCCTTGAACACAGTTGCTCAAAGTTTCCATACACGACTAATTATTTCCTTAATTTGCGCTGAATTATCGAGACAAAATAAACTTGAACAGAAATTTGACCCTGTAAAACTGTGATCGTACTTGGTATTGTATTTGCTCGCAATAGTGAGTACTAAGACTATCCGTAGTAGCCTACTGTCCTGATTATTAGATTAATTCGTTAATTACAAGGCAAAATGTGGTTCGGATTCCCCTACAAACTGAACATAAAATAAACTTAACATGTAGGCAATAAAATATATAATAGAGGGTTTAAGATGCCGACCACCTAAGTAATAAAAAAATGTTTAGTAACCGATTTTAAACATATCGACTTAAAAACACTTTCAACTTGCAGGCTTCTGATCATGGAGAAAATTTTCAAAATATGGGAGCATCCCTGACAAAAAACTTGTTTTTTCTTACCCGAATTGTTTTGTTGCAGAATTTTAGTTATATCCTGTATTTATGATAGGAAATTGGAAATAATTCTTATTTCACGGAAGCTCACACACAACAAAAAGGTCATAACAAATTCGAGAGGACTATAACTCTCCCGCAAGTACAAAGACGTTAGGCAAAAGCTGAGTACAAGGTTACTGATAACGCGGTTGTTAGAGATTCTTTATGGAGGCTTTGCGAGGCTGCTGTAGATAAGACAGGTTCTAATGTGCGACAAACATCATCACTGAGGAATTTGAAACCGTTGAAGAGAAGTTAGATGGTCTAGGTCCGTAACACTATACACTATGCGTAAAGTGTATTTTGATTTTGATCGAAATAACAAAATTTACACATCTAACCTCATTCTACACTCAACCTTCACTCATATTTGTGTTAAAATGCACCTAGGTGGCGTTACCATCCCTATTGATAACGATAATGAGAACACAATAAAATTGCATCTAGAAGGTATTA